TTTGCTATTGTTTTGCCTTAAACAGTAAAAGACCGCAAGACACTATTTAACAGCTCCAACTCAAGCACCTCTCGCTATGTTGCTGCAGAGCCTTCATCCTCATCCTCATCCTCATCAATGAGTTTGCTCAGTTGTCATGCAAATGCCGACTCTTGATTCTTTGACATTCTAATTAATACTCGTTTTGAGTCACTTATAACGGTCTGTGGAGAAAGTGTTGCCCTTTACCCAAACAGTATATCTTCAGTTTTTTCTTGATGGCCTCGATTCACAGCACAGCACCGACTCTCAAATCAAGCTGACATTTAACTGTCTGTGTTCGTAGATGCAGCGTTTATAATAAAATGCCATTCTAATCTCTGGTTATCCTCTTTGCTTTCAAGATAATGTCTTTGGTAGTCATTCCTTGCCTCTGCATGACTACATATTATATTATGCATTCTGTTAGTGTGGTCAAGGCACATTGTGGTGATCCTCAGGCATCAATGGTGGGTCCTTTTTGGCTATCAGCAATCACAATCAGCCTAGAATCTTACATTTAGACATTTTAGGCCCAAAGAACTCAGGCAGGGGTCAGGCTCATAAGGAATCAGCAGATGATGTATGTAGAATTATTCTTCTTTAACATATTGAAGATGAACTTTGTCTTTTTCAGACTGAAATATGTATCTTATAGCGAATGCAAATCTATATTGGCTGTGTGTATGTATGTGTAACAGATGTGTTTAGGGCATGGAAGTAGTCGACTCAGGTACTGATCTTTTCAGCATTTATTTGCTCCTGCAGAAGACAATAAAACACAGACATTGCCTTCTGGTCTCTGCACATCAGCTCCCTACACACAGGGTCTTCAACAGTGTAACACTACTGTGAAGGAAAAACGGGACTACCGCAAAATCTAAATTATAGCTTGTCAAAGATCGAAATTGTGACAAAAAGGGGAGAACAACCCCAAGTGAACAAAATAAATAACAGTGACAACTGCAAAAATTCCAGCATTAAAACAAAAGAAAACACATACCTGCAGAAGACAATAAAACACAGACATTGCCTTCTGGTCTCTGCACATCAGCTCCCTACACACAGGGTCTATGGAGGGGAACGTATACGTCAGGACGACCGGATGTAGCGAGTACAAACGGCGCGAAATTAAACAATGACCAAACGTATAATTTTATCACCACTCCATCGAATAATGACGCACCACAGCTGAGAACCGTGGTCATGTTACCCACGCTAATGGTAGCTGATGTTAACAGTTATAATTAAGAACATAGCGAAATAGTGCGACGTCGTTTTTTTTTTCTCAACTTACCTTCAACAGTGTAACACTACTGTGAAGGAAAAACGGGACTACGGAAGCCTAGGAGGCGCAGTAGAGATGAATCGCAATTTCCGCAAGTTTGACTCATCAAACTAAAATTCACACACACACGTTCAACAAAATTGTTGAATAATAACCAAAAAAATAAAATACAATACTTTGAAAATGACAGTGTATTTCTAACTCCGTTACATATGGTCCTTTTATAAAGCAGCTCGTCTCATTATCAAGGTACTGTCTGAGCTGAAATAAAGCTGAACTGCCTATTTTCTCTACAGCAAAAGGCTTTGTTTTGGTTCATGTTGAAACTAGAACAAACTGAATAAACATAACTGTAGTGCACGTTTGTCTTCACTGGAGGCATCCACAAAAACCACTGGTTTGAAATGCAGTGTTGAGTTCATTTTCGTTGCTGTTTTTGCAATCCTATTGTGGAATGTTGTAAGGGAGGAGTGTAGAAAGCATTTGATTTAAACCTTACTTTGGAGATTAAACCTTTTTTAGAGGTACCAGATCCGAGATCATAGCTCATGGAGCGTCAGAGCTCAAAGCTACATGCTAACGACGCTAATAGTGCGAATCACGACAAATTCCTGACAGATAACGAAACCAACCTGACTGGCGAGGAGGAAGAGTCACATCATTATGTTCCGGGGAACACAATACCCAACTATACTGTATATAACTTAGCAAATACTTTATTGCTGCTATATAAATATTAAGACTGTTAATTATAGCTCCTACAACAGTAACATGAAGCGGGCAGTGCATTCTGTGCTCATCATTTCCAGCCTCGTAGGCCTCTCAGCTGGTGAGAGGCACTCTGGTTGGCCACAGTGAATCTTGTGTTTGAACAGGATCCAGCAACTTGTTGGCATTTCACTTTGTTTTTTTGTTTCGCTTTTGAGCAGCTGTCACTATAGAAACACTTGCGGGGAAATTATGGGTGGATCTGTGAGTAGTTTGACCAAGATACAGTACGAAGTTGTGAAATCATGCTTTAAAACATGAACGTGTACTTGAATAAAACAATGGAACACCTGTGAAAACTATAATAAGGTATTTCATTGGTTAATGGACAGCTTACATCATTCTCAAATCTGCAGTTTACTGTCAGTACCTCTTCATGTAACGTAGAGTCTTAGATGTTTGGATGAACAAGAGTAATGCAGTAGTTAATGAGGCTTGTGCAACAAGTCCCTTGTGGCTCATGCTGGTCCTTATTATCTGCAGCAAAGTTGAATAAGGAGGGTACAAATGTATTGATTGTTAATGCCATCAAATAGTGATGCTCAAAGGTTCCGAGACAGAAATGTAACTATGCATGAGCAAGAAGTTGGATGTTTTCATACTCAATCACAAATACATGACTGATAAGATATTTTAGAGCCAGTATGTTTCTGTGGAGACGAGAAACAGCATCTATAAAGGGAACATGTCTTTGTGCAGGAAAAGTCCCATACACACACAGAGCAATGTACAACCAAGAGAACATATTTCACACAGGGTTGACCTCCATCTAGTGGCAGTACGGATTCCTCGTGAAATACATTTAGATTAATGACCCTGTAACATCAACACTTTGGTAGAGTAGGGTACCAGGAGCAGTAGACATAACAAAGAGAGACAGTAGAACATGATTGAACAGATCAAAACCAAATTAATACCATTATGATATGATATAATTGAATTGAACAGCTCAGAATGGATTAAAATGACAAGGAACAAAGAATAATATGATAAAATTAATCTGAACAAAGAGAAATGTAATAATAAAATATAGTATGTTATGCAATGATATAGTACACAAATGAATGAAATAGAGCATAATAGAATACAATAGAAAAGAGAAGAATGGAATAAAATGTAACATATTATGATATGATTAAACAGATAAAAACTAAACGGAATATAGTAACATAGAATATAATAAAAGAATGTGGAATACTATACATTAAAAGATAAGAAAGAGAAATGATTCCCTCACAAGTACCATGATGTTTTAAATCCAATTATTTCCATAAAAATGTTGTAGAATGTAGAATCACGTCATGGTATCTTAATAAATAGTCTTATTTACTTTTTTACTTTAACATGCAAGTAAAGAAATACTAATCTGCATTGGACATTTTCTTGCAAAAGAGCAAACAAGTATCTATTTGCGCATGACGCAAGAGAAATAGAAAGTGAAAATGGTCTGTTGAGGTGGGGCAGTTCTCTGCATGGACAGCTCTCACGGCCTGCGGGGCTCCTCTGGCCTGTTAAGTAGAGGTGTGGAAGCTGCTGAAGGTGTCCTGCGGTGTGTATTTTAACTGTGTTTTGCTGTCATTTACTGCCTGTTTGGCTTGTCTCTGTTCCCACCTCCTATCTCTGTAGATTTTACACACACCCTGTGTGCATGGAGCTAAGAAGAAACTCTGCCGTCCACCATAGATTGTGGACTCAGTTATGAGTTTCTCTGTTGTCAGAAAAGACTGTTGGGCTGAAAAACGCGCGTACAGGCTGAAATTCATGTTGTTGTTGTCGAGCGCAGAAGCCCTCGTCCGAAATGTCTTGAACTCCCAATTCCGGGCGAATCTCAGGGCTTTGCTAAGGCTGTGTTCAGCAGGGGAGGAGAATTGCAGTCTGAAGATGTTGTTGAGTGGATAAAAGGACACTTTGAGGAAGTCCTGAACCCAGCCAACAATTCCTGTGTGGCGGAGGCAGCGTTTCAAGGCTTGGGGGAATAAGTAACCGTCCATATCTATGGCAAAGGTCACTGAAGGAGTCAAAAAGCTCCTTGATGCTTGAGGTGGAGGAGAGTTGCTTTGAGATGCTGAAGGCTCTGGACAGTTGTGGACAGTCATTGTGGTGCCACGGCTCTATGACGAAGCCAACAGAGCTTCTCATCTACAAACTGCCCCCAAGCTGGGCAGAATTAACTGTGGTTGCAATGCAAGGTTAAAACAATTGTTTCTCGTGATGCAAAACCAACATCAATTAAAAGCTGGTAAGTTTCCTGCAGCTGGACCAACCATGATTGATAAAAGGTCTTGAAAGGTGAGAACGCCGGTAAAGCCTACATGGCCGCAAAGGACCCCGACAGAACATGTTTGGGACCTCTTGTTGGTTCCACAGCAGTTCTGGTCGGATCATCAGCTCGTTCAATTTACAATTCCAACACGTTGTTTGAGGTTCAGTATGAGAACAGACGGTTCAATCATGAAAAGTAGAGCTGAGTTCATTTAGAAACTCTTTCTGTCTTTCGGTTTCTGTCTTCATTTGCGTCTTTCTTTAAATAAGTCTGATGACAATTTTCACTTTGTCTAATTCTGCTTTCACAAGTTTTCTGTCAAAACCGACCATGTTTTCATACCTATATGTGTTAATTGGCCATTACATTATCTTGTTATGCAGTGAACATTGCTTGAGCTGAAAATATGCTGTCCCATGTGGTTTCTGTGCAGCCAAGAATACCAACTAGCACTTATTAGAAAGTCATCAGCATAATTATAGCAACTATTTCTACGCAATAGTTTGCTGGCAGGGTCTGTGTGATCGATTTGGACATTTGCCTTCGCATTTACAGTGTGTGTGTGCAAAAGATTACATTGTGTATATTTTTGTTGTCTTAAATAGAACCAAATTACTAACTATGCACAAAGATTCTTGCGAACAGAATGTGATCAGTCAATCATGGAACTGAAAAATAAGGCTTTTGCCACTTTATTTGAAATCTAGTGGTGATATAACCAATTGAATTATTTTTATTAATGCATTGTATTTCTGAAAATAAATATCAGTTAGAATGTAAACTCCACCAATATCAAACAATTCCCACAACGAATATGACAATACATGACCTCTGTGTAATTAGTGGTGGTCACAGTGCTTCTGACAAAAAACTCAAATGGAATAATTAGCTAAATTCTTAAAAGACAAGTATACTTTTAGTATCTCCAGCCAGTCACAGAAAAAACGCATTGAATGTGCCGTTATGTAAGATACAAAAGACAGTGGAAATTAAGCATGTGCCATGTGCAGTGAACCGACACAAAAATAACACGCAGGTACAGAGAAACAACAAACACTGCACTGTCTCAGTGCATATATGCCTCCTGGCAATCCCTGTTAAGAAAAACGACAGCGGCGCTTTGCGGGTCACCCACATCCCCTGAGCCCTCCTGGGGGAGACAGATCGAAAAATGAGTATGATAAAAAAACTCAAGCATATATTTGGCAACAATGATCTTTAAATCTTGTGAAATGGAGCAGAGACTTACATTGTGCCGGGCTTTTATCATTTTTACTTGTCTCAGCATAGGATCCTGCCCTATTGGTGGATATTAAAAAGATTTAAGTCACAAATAACACTGCAAATGTCGTACTCTTACATATGCATGCATGGGAAATATTTCATGGACCTGGAGTCGAGGTTCGTGGTATGATTCTGCCAAGATTTCATATTCAGAGGAAAGAGAAGTTTCCTTACTGTGCCGTTTCCACAACTTTCGAACCAATATGGCCAAGCCAAGGAGAATCAGGAATGAGGCGCACACCAGAAACGACTCCATGATGTGACTGAAACACAGACACAAGCAGCTGTAGCTCTTTCTTTAACGTGACGGCCAAAATGATGACAGAATTCTCTTGAAAAGCATTCCTCTTGCCTGTGACTGTTGCAGGACTCCTTGGTGATGGGCTTGGGGGGCGGCAGGTATGCGAGGGACAGACTCGCTGTAGGCCGGGATGTCACAGTCACTGCAGCTGAAGATAAACACAATACAGTTGAAAGAATGACAAACTAATACAAGAGTATTTGTAGCAGGATGCTCGTTCATGACGGTGTTCCTTGATAATTAATCCTTGGTAATCAATACATTTTTTGCACAATTGGGGATTTACGCCATCTGTGACAAACGCACATCGATGTTCAGAGCAGCTTTCGGGCTACTTCTCATTCAGCCGCTGAGTGATGAACGTGGCAAAAAAAGCCCCGCTGTGCCTTTTTCATGAATACAATGGCTGGTCTGAATAGCTTTTAATAACATTCAGGTTTGAATGATCACTAACAGAGCATCTGATCATCTCCCCACAGTAACACTGATACGTCTGCTTTGATCCCACGAAGCTCAACAGATTTTCAATAGAACTTTCCCTGACTGAAACCTCAGCTTGTGAGAATAAGATGACCTTGCGGGCTCATGGTTAAGGAGGACAAAAAAAAAGTATTTTTCAAGCAGATGATTATGCTTCATGTGAAAGTGATATCTGCTAGTGGAATTATCACTCAGCTTTGGAGTGACTCACACCTCGAGTGCTGCAGGGATTTTCTCTAACAACTGAGAAATTCGAATCACACTGGTTCCCTCAATGGAAAGCTAATGACATGTCTCTCTTATAGGACATTGGGTTATTGCAGAAAACTTTTATAATTAGTACAAATAATTGCCAAAAAGTGAAGAAAAGCGGTGGACTACAGACAAACTACACCAGGACTTCCCTCAGCTGAAGTTGCACTAATGCAGCGTGTTGACGTTGTCTCATTTAGCATTTAGAAGAGAACGTTGAAACTTCTCAAGATTACAGACGTCTAAACAAATAACCCAATGACTCCCGAAGGAGGGAAATGGGAAACGCTGACTCATCTCAGGGTTTAAAGGACTCATTCTGGCAGCACTAACGAGCATTTTGTCTGAGCTCATTATTTGTGTTTCTCAGCCCACAACTTTAGACTGTAGATGATGTGACAGCAGTCAGACGGAGTGAGCTAGCTGGTGAGCACAGTCCTGTAAAGAGCTTGATATGAACTTTTTACGAGAAAAATATTTACAGTAAGTGCTTGATTGTTCGGTTGCCAATCTGCATTAAATATCACCGTTGAATCAAAATGAATCAACTAACAAATAATGCATTCACTTCCTCATTGAAGAGTATTGAAGGATGATTAAAGGAAAGAGCAAATTTGTCGACCTACTAGTCGAGGGTCTCGGCGTGACGATCACATGCACGTGCTCCTTATGCTGTCCTGCACAGCACCAGTACCAGCCGGTGTCTTTCATCTGCAGATTCTTCAAGGTTACAGTGAAAGTCCTGCTTCCGTCATCTCTGATGGCCACTGACGTGTCGTTGTAGCTCCCCTCAGACCCGGTCAGCAGACAGCTGCTCCAGTCTCCAGTCCGGCACCACTTCTTCTGGCTGTCTCTGCAGGGCAAGAGGTCACAGCGGGGAGTCAGCACGGGCTCACCGTCCATCACAGGTTGGCTTCAATTGAAGATTTTCAACAAACAGCTGTGTTTCTCGGGTTGTTGGAGGCTTTGGAAATGTTATTTTTAAAAGTGCAGATTGTCTGTTGGAACAACTGGCAATCATAATACGTTGAATCCTGCAATAAAGTACCTGTATCTCTCACTGTAGTGGCATTCAACTGTGACACTACTGCCTTCTTCTCCACTCAATCGGCTGTTCACCACTGACATTCCTGCAGGCAAGGAAGCAAACGTAAGGAGTGTAAGATTGTATGTGAACAGCAGAAATGAAATAATATCTAGAATGTTTCTGCTTCATATTTACGTTCAGAATCCGTTTCACTGATTGCCTCGTGGGTCTACAATGGCCCAAAATGGACAAACCAAAGTCTGTCTCTGTGTCCCCTTTTCTTTCTTATTTACCATCAAAGCATAAAACATGCGTACAAACGTTATTTTCGAGCGATCCATACACGGCCATCAGTTCTAAATAAGTCCGTTACTCACCATGAATGACCTGGATGTACGTTTCAGTGACAGCGTCGGCGGTCCATGCGCCGCCTAACTCCACGCCACACAGGTACCAGCCGGAGTCGCCCTCCTTCAGGTCGCTCATGGTCACGGTGGACACCAGCTGGACGGGGTCGTCAGACATGCTCACTTTCCCCGCGGCTGGATTGGCTGTATCTGTTCGAGCCAAACTGGTGCAGAACCCTCTCATCTTCCCCCGGCACCAGTACTTCACGTAGCCGGCGTACTGAGGCTCATAATGACACGGGACCGTGAGGGATTGACCCTCCATGACGGAGAGCTCTGCCTCGGAGAGGAACCCTGATGGGAAGTGAAGGTGATTGATTGCTGAGCACCAAACTCTGAGCTGAGCCTCATCCATGCAGAAGACTCACAGTGGACACTTCTTCTCCTGTGTGTATTTAGGAGCAGGGAAAGTGGCCTTGAGCTATTTTGGTTTTGGTTTCTGTTCTAACGAAACGCTATTTCCTCTTTAACTCCTCTCTGTTTTCAGAATTGGATTATCCCTCTCAAATAGAGATTTTGGGAGGCAAATACAACAGACTTCTGCAGACTCTGCAAAATAAACATGAAACATAATGTTGCAACGGGCAGCGACGTTTGGAAGATTTGAAAAGCAGCAGCAACACAGAAGCCTTCTCCAGGTCCAAAATAACGTTATGCGCTGTAGTAGTCTGGGAAGTTATAACGATTAATACAGAGAAGTGATAAAAGAGACAACAGATCTGAAGCATAAGAATTTTTCCGCAAGCCCACTGCTAAAGTGAGGCGACTGCATCATGGACGGTAATCACCCAAATAACCTTTTTATCTCAACAGTTATCTGCATGAATAGATGTGATCTAGAAGCTATAATAGCCAAATGCTCTGTTATTACCTGGGATCCATGATAACAGGGTGAGGGCGAGCGTAAAGAGTTTCCGCATGTTTCCACAGTTGGAGGAACTTTCTTGTCTAAACACAGACTCTAGATTCCGCTGGCCAATAACCTCTGGTCATGTGACCACAAGTTGGATCCAGATGTTCCAGATATTAACCATGTAGGTGCCAATTATTTTTAATACTAAGGAATACTCGTTACAAATGCTGTTGTACTTTAGTGAAACATAACAATTTGGCTTTTGGCTTTTCTGTAAATGTAAATTTGCGACAAAAGGGATTTGAGTTTTTGAAAGAAATTTTGAAAGGATATGTTCAAAAATCCAAATGGTGTTTATTTTAATTGACCCATTTGCTAACATCTTTTTGTTCTTCGCCACACTCCTAAAACAGTTCTACCTGTCGTTTGAATCATTTCTGTCGTGCATTGCATTGAACGTACTGTGCATCTTTCACATTGTTCATTCTGTGCACACAGCATCCTTTGCATCCTCCTCTGCCGTTCTTCCTGAGGCTTCTTCCTTGTTCCCTGTGCCGATATGAGACTGTCAAGACAGCAAGAAGAAATCAAGACCACAAGGGAATAACATTTTGGGCAACATATTTATGCTGAGACTCACAACCTAAGTGTGGTATCTTCCCTTCTAACTTTGATCAACTAAAGGTTATTTTTAAATGTTTTTGTTAACTGCAGTTTTAGGCTGAGAGTTTGAACGTGGCCCTCATTCCTCTCATGTCTCCTGCTCTTATCATTTCAGTCAGTGTTAGCCATCTTTTTCTTATATCCTTCTCCCCAAAGTACCCAAACACAGAGCCTTCTCACCACGCATACAGAGGATTGATTTGGGAGACGGCAATGAAATCATTTGATTTTGACGCCTGAAAATTTTGGATTTTGTCCAGTCTTCATTTGTCGGATTAAGCTCTTAACCCCCCCCCAACTCTCCGCGCCCCCCCAACCCACCGCCAGCCACCGACTTCACAAACCATTATTCCAAGGCTCTCAATTTGCTGTGTGAAGGGCATCGTGGAAAGGCCCCTTCTGCTTTGGCTGCAAAGGCTTTTATGGTCACTCATTTCCTGGATAAATGTAAGAAGAACCCAGAATTGAAACTGAACACATTCCGGCGAGAGTCTTGGCGGATTTGAGAACTATTCACACCCTTTCAAGCTCACTGCCGTACCCCACCAACAGCACTGTGAAAGGCTGGTTCAGGGAGCGGTTACACTCTGACACAGGAGATTGATTTTGTTAAATTGTTGCATCAAATTAAAGTGGATTTACTAGTAAGTCACAGATTTATATCTGTTTCAAAGAGCATGTCACCCTGGTTATAGTGGGAGAAGGTCCGGTAATATAAAGCCTTTAAAGTGAATGGCTTAAACAAAACGGTGCCATGATACTTTACAATCCTTTCTACTGAGGTTGTAGTGTGCATTGCTTAGTGGTTCAAATGGAATACACATACTTGGGGGCCAAATTGGCCTTTGCTCTGAATTGAGATGAGTTGATGAGATGCATTCCTTCCAGTGGAAGAGGAAGCAGTTTCGTCAAAAAGACGGTTTAACTGTCAAACTACACCATTAAAATAGTCGTCTTTCAGTGAGGCACTTGAACGGTGATTTAATTTTTCTACTCTATATTACAGGGAAATGTAAAACACGTATTCGACAGCTCACACTTTGCAGTTTTTCAAAAACCCTTTAATGACCATATCACATGAAATGCTTTTTTTTTCAATTCCTCATGTGAATTTGTTCATCAGATATGTCCAACATCACCGCTCACTAGGTAATGCCAACCCTTTTCCTCAGGACCGGTGCTAATGCTGTCCCGTTAATGTATCCAGTTGGCTCCCGCTATTAAAGCTGCATAGGACGAGATGTAGACGACCTTTACAGAAGACACATGGGATAACAATTTGATTCAGTACGTTTTTCATCTCTGTGTGGGAGGCAGTTGTTCCATTTCCAATTCAAACTGGCCCACACACCCAAAGACCCAGCGAAACCCTCAGGTCGGTGCGGTCTTTGACAAATGTTGAAGTGGCTCCGCACAGTCACAATCAACTGAGCTGGAATGCGTTTCCATCAGGTGCTCCATAGCAGGTAATGGAAGAAAACCCGCTCTCATTGCTTTGGGGTGCAATGTTCTTGCGCTCCCCTCTCACTCAGCATGATGGGCAGAAGGCCTCTGCTGTTCGCGCTCGCTCTCACATGCTGGAGTCTCGGTTGTTAAACTTGGAAAAAAAGAAAATGTTCTGCGAGGGATAGGAACCTTTGGTAGCAATTTTCACTAAGTTATATATTTTCCCCCCATTTTCTTTTTTTCTTTAGCCAACTCTGAATGTAGCCTCCTGAAATGCTGATGTAAAAAGTTTTATATTTAAAGCTTTGCTCTGACGCCATAGCCATCCACCCTCGTAGATGGGGATTAAGGGGCAGTTTCATGTAAAAGAACTTGAATTTATCAAAATGACTGTTCAAATTTGAAGAATATGAATTCATCGAATGGTCACTTATTTTCCAACTTTTACAAATCTGTTTTTACTGGAAAACTATACTGTACTTTATTAGAGGATGTCATGCATTCAAAATATTTAAATTTCAAACGAGTATTGAACAAAATGCTTTCTTTCAAGAAATTTATTCTCAGAAATCAATATTTAAGTTGTTTTTATTTCTTTTCGGTGCAAAAAGGAATGCTTTACAGATTGTAATGTAAAAAAAAAAAAAAAAAGAATCAATCAATCAATCCATATCTGTAAGAAAATTGTACTGCATTCGGTCTGATGTGGTTGTGGCACGAAAGCAGATGCAGCTTTGAGTCCTGAAGGGGAGTTTTGATAGGGTCTCTTGTCATGATCTATACAAATAGAAGAGGTGGTTGGGTTAGTGACATTGACGTTGTGGCAGTGGTTAATTATTAGCAAATGAGAAACAAAAGAATGCAGTTTACCCTCCAAGGCTAAAAATGCAACAGCACCCTTTTCTAGCAACGGATCTGGTAACAAAATGTGTTGATTTGTATCAAAACCCACAACCATCCTTGGACCGAATACATTCTACTTTTTATTGTCCAATCTTAGAGACTACATTTTAAAGCATAACACATAACGTTCCAGAAGATGTTTTCTTGTTCAAAAGAATACCGGCAGTGCATTAAAACAACATGGTCTTCTCACTATTTTGATGATGTCCATGACCTTGTACAGTCTGGTTTTTACCATTTTAGAAAAAACGGATTCTCCATGTTGGAACTAAAGAATGTTCAGGCGTTAATGGTCAGTGGGCTCGACCAAGGCTCCAGTAAATTCTGGTTGATATGGGAGACATAACTCGGAAGAGTGGCACTCAGATCTATTGATGAAGAGTGCGTTATAAATAAAATACAGTATTATTATTATTATTAAGAAAATAGTCAAAACTGACAGCTGTAGAAATACCTTTGGAGCATACGGCTTAGTGGAAAATATAATAAAATAACGTATTAAAACAGTAATACAAAAAAACAACTAAACACAAATGATATGCCTTTGCACTAGAATGTGACAATAGGATTTTTACAATCAAAAATGGTAACTTCAAAAACGTGATGGATTCACGTGTGAATCACCTGAGAGGGAGGACACCAGATCGCACGTCCCTCAACCAATGAAGTTCATCACAACCAGATGGAGGACGGTGTGTGCGAATAGGAAATCAGCAAAGGCTCTCTCCGGGGAGATGGACAAGAAGTCTCCTTTGTTCTGTGGGTTGATCTGGATACGAAGACATACTAACAAGAAATGAGGGAGAAAAAAGACAATGGGTTCAGTATTATTACACTGAAGACATAAAAAGCTTATTCCACTGATATAACCAAGCAGGACTTGCTTTATTTTTCCTTTTCCTGTATTCAGAATTACAATCATTGGGATTTCTTTTTTTCATCTTGTACAGGCAAGAAATCAAATACAGTACTAACCTGGTTTATGATTCAGAGAAGTTCCCAATGCCATTATAAGTGGCAGGTATATTCTCCACTAAGAGAATACAATTTCGTTACATTAAGACACCAGTTTAGGAAGTGCAACTAAGCTAATAGTTAACGTTAACTAATTAATAAGGTTACAGCAATAAATGCTGCCTGCATGCGACGAGTGGACTTCTCGGCTTCGTGCTAGTTGTGTTATTGTTATTGCATCATACATCTAATGTATAGACACACGTAAATTGTATAATGATAATAATAATTCATTCGAAAATTTCCATACTCTGCGTCCGTGTTTGTGTTTAATGTACTCGTGCATAAAGACCGCTGGAGCTATAGCATGCTAGCACGGTTAGCCTCCCCGCGTCTGCACACACGTCAACCAGCAGTCCGGAGACCGTCCACACGGACGCATCGCGGGACTCATCCGCAAGACACAACCACAACTTCGAAGCCAGAACGCATCTATTACCTCCGAGAATGAAAGCGCCCACACACGAGATGAAGCCCGACAGGAAGCTGTTGAAGGGGAAGGTGCCGACGAGCAGACAGTAGAGGAACTGCAGCGCTCCTGTCAACAAGATGTACAGCAGATACGCATCCACCACCTTCAGCTTGTTGGGCGTCGTGGTGGTGTACTCCTCTAGAAACCGAGAAATAACCGATATGACGGAGTTCGACATGGTTTTTGTCTATTTTGGAACAAATGGGGGTCGATGAGCGAGTTTTGCACCGGTCCTTTTCCTTAACACGAAAAAGTGACGTGTCCTCGTCAACCGGAAGCTGGCTCGGTGTTACAAGGAATATATTCCGGGGATGAGGTTCCGAGTCGGAAGGGCCCGCTGCCGGAGGAGAGACTTGACGCCGCCCAGTGCAGCACAGAGCTTCTACGCGTGGACGACCGCTCACTCTGATGGTATTTACAGACACGGCGGTGTCATCCGCTGTCTTCGCTGTCACCAACCCTCGCACAGTGTCACACATAATTAATCCACACGCACGCATATGAAACACGTGTCTACATACGCGCACTCGAAGTCCACGTTCGGGTAACAAACCGAAGAGACACATTTGTAACGCATCAGACTTGCGTAACGTTTTCTTTTTCTTACGTACTATTGAACCATCTTCTCAATCGAGTAACTCTGTCCTCACTCAGCTGACCCAGGAAAGAACGAGTTTGTGTAACGTAACCTCATATTGTCATTTATTTGAATGCAGTCACCGGAATATGTCAACCAATGGACCCCGCTACAGCAACCACGGAGCAGATGCAGAACGAGTGTGAACCAGAGTAAGTCTCGTTTAACTTCGATGGATAAACAGCCGGAGACGACCTGCTCCAACACACCGGGTTACATCACGAAGCTAAACTGATCCAGACGGGACGTCGTTATTGTTTCCCCTCTCCGCTATAACACGTGTGTAAGGGGGACGTGCGGGGTCATTGTAGCCGCAGCAACGACTCATTTGGCACCAAACACTTGTGCTAATAGTTTTTAGTACTTTACCGAACAGTGCTGACGTCAGTTAGATGTGTTACATAACAAACAGCCACTGTTTGAGTGAGTGACAGCCAGTTGGATGACTCGGCACATTTTCAATTACAGAACAGGTAGACGGGCTGGTGGTGCACCTGTTGCGTGTGTGTGTGTGTGTGTGTGTGTGTGTGTGTGTGTGTGTGTGTGTGTGTGTGTGTGTGTGTGTGTGTGTGTGTGTGAGAGAGTGCGGGCGCGCGCGCGTGCGCGCCAATGATGAATCATGACCGGCCCATCACCGCTGTCCGTCTGTGTGAAGCACATGTGCATCCAGCTCGATATATTGCCTGTTCAATAAAACACATTTGAGATTTTTCTCATCAGGTTTTGTTTCTCACGGTGAAATTAGGCACAGAAGCATTTCTTTTTGTTTTGTATAAATGATCAACCACCTCTGATTCGTTCTGTTTGCCTCTCGTAGGTCAAGTTCAATCTGGAGCTGGTGGCCTTCCTGGCGTCCAACCTCGATGTCCCTTCTAAAGACTACCGAGTCAAAGATTCTTGCTTGTAAGGCTGTTTTGACGCATGCCGGCAGAGTATTTAACCACTACTAGTGCTAATCAGTAGTAATGATTAATAGAAAGCTACCAACTCTTTATTGATTACCCATAAGCCATTGTAAGTGTAACATTACACCATTATGTCAACATCTATACAACAAACCTAAGTGAGGGTAAACTGATCTTTCCTGTGTGGTCACAACAGGTATTCAGAATGAGCTCTGGGCGAGGTTTGTCACCCTCCCAAACCAGGATCGAATATGGACTCTGACTCTCACCAAGAAGGCCCAACCGGGTACCACCCTCCTCGCACTGTTTGTTTGCTTAGCGGGCGGCAACTGCTGTAATTCCACAGTCCTAATGTCGGCATTACATAACTCCTGTGTTCCCCTTTAGCCCCAGCCCCCAAAACCCCCCTGGTGATGGTCCACGGCTTTGGAGGAGGGGTAGGCCTGTGGATCAGGAACATGGACATGCTGAGTCGGTCGCGGCCGGTCTACGCCTTTGACCTCCTGGGTTTTGGCAGGAGCTCAAGGCCTCCCTTCCCCTCAGACGCCGCCAAGGCAGAGGAGCAGTTTGTCGAGTCCATTGAGCAGTGGAGACAGTCCGTCGGCCTGGAGAACATGATCCTGCTGGGACACAGTCTCGGGGGCTACCTGGCTACCTCCTACGCCATCCAGTACCCTTCTAGGTAATAATGCTAATGTGAGGCAGGCTGAAACACCAGAGACGTTGTTGATGCCAGAGATTGTATTTCAACAGTGATCATTGACTGTTGAATATTGCTATCTCTTAACTAAAATTAAGAAAACAGGATTTAAGGTTTCTCTTTTTTGTGAGTGTGCAGTTACAGCTGGAGGTCTCTTCTGGTTGCCTGGCAACCTCAAGCTGACCAGAGACGGCATGAAGTGAATGCAACACAGCTTGGAGCTCTTTTAGATGCTCTCGTTTCCATTCAGTTGGCAAAGCTAAAATAACCTTACTGCACTGAAAAAATATGGATTGTTGTGCTTTTCATAGTACTCAAAGACATTAAGATCATCAAATATAAAAAAGAAAGCAATGCACAAGGACATTAGCAATAAGCTAATATTTACTTTCCCAGACGTTTGCATGTAAGGTAGATCTGAGGCTTTCAATAGACACCGAATCAATGCAGGAAATCAAATGAGTTTCCCCAAAAACTTTACTTAAACGTCTGATGAGTCTGTATATAAACACAATATGACCTTGCGCAAATCATGCAATACGATTTCTGAAAATTTAAAGAACTTCATTCTCTGCAAGAAAGCTAATTTAATAATTAAAATAATTATTATAAAAAAATAAAATTCAAAAAGAGTGTTTGACAAATGCTTCACCATGTCGCCCCTAGTGGTGAGCTGATGTAAATGGCAGCTGATGGGGTTGCGCTGTACCCTGCTTTCCTCTTGTAGAGTGTCTTGTCCTGGTGGATCCATGGGGTTTTCCAGAGCAACCACCGGCACAGACCCAAGAGGTCCGAGATCAGGGCACCGAGGTGTTGAAGCGGCCGCCTCTGCCCCCCTGGGTGAAGGCGATCGCCGCGGTGGTTTCCCTCTTCAACCCGCTGGCCGTCATCAGAGCAGCGGGGCCGTGGGGTGAGATAGAGTTCATGGAGCGTCCCGCTGTGCCGCGGTGGCCGCTGTCCGCTCACATTGTTTCACGTTGATTCAGGTCCGGGCTTGGTGAACAGATTCCGTCCCGATTTCAAAAGGAAATTTGAAGATCTGTTCGAGGATGACACCATGACGCAGTACATCTACCACTGCAATGCACAAACCCCGAGGTAAGCAAAAACCTTTTCTCTGATAGCGGAACATGATGCCTGCAAAAAGCCAACCGATGTCCCGACTGATGTCCCGCCCTCCTGTCCGTTTCTTCTCCTCCTCCCAGTGGCGAGGTGGGTTTCCGGGCCATGGCAGAGTCTTTGGGCTGGGCCAAGAGGCCCATGCTGCAGCGGGTTCACCAGCTGCCCCCCTCCATGCCACTGACCATGCTGTACGGAGCTCGATCCTGGGTGGACAGCTCGTCTGGGCAGAGCGTGGTCCAGATCAGGAACCAGGCCCTCACCAAAGTCATCGTGAGTAGAAACGTAGAGTACAGTCATGAAATGTGCAGTTCTTCTTCTGATCGGTCTTGTTTTACTCGTGATTGTTGCCGTTTGGGTATCTCAGGCAACCTCAAGGCAAGGACTGATTTTGGTTCCCACAAATGTCCAATGGGAGAAAAGGAAAAAGTGAAGACGTTCTTTGACAGTACAGGATGTAAACTGCAACATGCAAATGCATCACTGACTGGTTGTCTTTTTTTATTTTCTCATCTATTTCCCTGCAGCTGATAGACGACGCATCTCACCACGTGTATGCCGATCAGCCAGAGGAGTTCAACAAAGTGGTGGAAAAGATATGCAACTCTGTTAACTGACGGCCTGTGTGTGTGTGTGTGTGTGTGTGTGTCGGTGTGTGTGTGTGTGTGTGTGTGTACAAGCCGTCTGTGTTGGAGCATGTCAAGACCTCCAGTAGCCCAACATGATTTTGAATGTTATTTCTTTGCAGTCATGTTACCATAGGAACAAGTTGTTGATCTTATTGTTGCCAAGTTTTACATATTGTAAGGAAATTATTTATTCATAACATGATTGATTTGTTTTGTTAATGTTGTTATACAGAGTAATAATTGTACTAAAGTGCCGTTGTTTTGTCCATTGTTCTATTTTTCTCAAACACACTCTGCTGGGTTTCTGTGTGACGGAGCAGCAACGACGCTGCTGACACACCCTTTTTTATGTGCCTAACATTCAGTACTGTATGAGATATTTTGGTTTAAATCCTTGCTTTCCTCCTATATAATTCCCACCGAATCAAGCCGCTCTGTGGATTTTATACCTTGAAACAATAAAAGCTTATTTGATAAACCGCTGCTGTGCAAATCCACATGTGCCGCACGATGTGGTCCAATCAGCAGAGATCAGTAACAAGTCCGATCAGGTTCTTTGGAGCGCTTTGTTTGTGCCTGCCAGCAGTTGAAATAGTGAGGGGAAGTCCTTTCTTCAAATGATTGCATTTGTGAAAGCACATACATATTATCAGACTAAAGTGACAGTTTTGCCCCTTATCTTTGTTATCATTTAAGCTGGTAAAAGTTTTCTATTTTACAATAAGTTTGAGCTAATGCAATGTTTAACATTCTGTATGTACAGTGTATAAATCAAGAACAATATGGAAATAAAAAAAATGTTTAGATCAATGGGAGAGTCCATTTTTTTTGTACAGGCCAAAATCCCCAATTTGCTTTGCAATCTGAACACATCCAACATCCTCTGTCTCAGAAACCCCAGAATTTTAGAAAGTAATAAATCATTCATTCAGTATTTGTTGGAAGGGAAGTAGACATCCTTCCACAGAACCCCCTCTTGTCGGACCATTGTCCGAAAACCTACCGGAATCTCCTCCTCCTGCCAAGGGTTTCTCCAGTCGATGCTTATCGGATTCCGCTGTAGCCTCATTTGAAGAAGCCATTCCCTCTGCTCTTAGTTCAGGGTCCTGTCTCAAGATATCAGAAGACTCCTGTGAGAACCCAGATCGATCATCTTGTCGATGTTGCTGCAGGCTCTCTGAGAGTGGCGCTGGACGCTATTGCTCCTCTGGAAAGAAGAATGGCCTCCTTGGTATAACCCTCAAACCCAGAACTTAAAGCAAACAGTGCAGAAACTGGAACGGTTCCATCAAATCAGAAGAATCTAGTTTGGCAAGACGGCCTTAAAACATATAAGAAGGCTCTCCGTAATGCAAGAGCATCTTATTACTCATTACTTATCGTTAATAGAGAAAAATGAAAACACACCAAGCTCCTCTCTCACTCTCTCCTTCTACAATAATCCACGTTTTATTCACTCATCACTAATTCAGCTTCCTTCCCAGAGTGTTTTGTGCTTTCTCGCCTAGCAGGTCTCCGTAGATCGTAGTTCCGCAATAATTTCAATCATTCCGGTCATAGAAATCAAAAGTATTGTACATCTTTTATGTTCATTGTACGCATGACATCCACTGCAGTCTGTTCATCCCGGGAGAGGGATCCTCCTCTGAGGTTTCTTCCCTTTTTTCCCCATGGAAGGGTTTTTCATATCTCCTGTGCCGATGTGAGGGTTTCGGGACAGAGGATGTTGTATGTGTACAGACTGTAAAACCCTCCGAGGCAAATTTGCAATTTGCGATTTTGGGCTATACAATATAAAATGAATGTAATGGAATTTAATTCAATAGACGACCACACGAGGCCGACGGAGTCCATTAGCTGTTTTTCTTTTGTCTCTTTGTCTTTACTTCTTTAACTATTAATTATCTTTCTGTCATGGCCTTGGGTCGCATAGACCTTTAGGACCTTCAGTGTCCAAGTGCAGGTCATCAAGAATGATGTTGATGAGAGGCTCACAATGCCGAGTGATCTACAGCCACGCGTTCATTTAATGGAGTCAAAGGAACAAAATTCCCCTCCAAAAAGCAGACGTATCATGATCAGTACTCAAATGTAGCTCAAACCACAGGATGTCATACACAATGATCTGTTTTCTTTCCCTTATTTCAGTCAGTGGTTGACAAAATATTCCGTTTTTGTATTTTAGTTTAGGTGGCAGAGTTAGAATATTTAAATAACAATTACTTCTAGGTCAAAAAGCAGCACCTCAGCTGTGTTTTCTACCAAATTAACATTGAAAAAAAAGTACTCTTTTGGCAGCAGAATGTCCTCCGTCAGTGTTAAACATGTCGTGTTTTGTATGCACAGTTTTAATAGGAAAAGTAGCTTTTAAATAGAGCTATTAAATAAGTGCAGTGCGGTAAAAATATATTTCTCCTTCGCATTAACTACATGCATCACCTTCAACTGCTAGTTAATCATCACACGCCAGCATTACACTGCATATCCTGCATATCTTTCATGAACAGTGTGTAGCATTTAATGTGACCAATTGGCAGAAATGGGGTATGAAATGAATAACAATTTTTTCATTAGTTTCTAATAGCAATTAAATATTGTTTAGAAAAGGCCATTTCAATCTAAAGTTTGAAATGTTCTCCTCCCCTGCAGTCTGGCCTGGTGTGCCCCCCTTTCTGCAGGAGCCTAGCAAGGCCTAGCATTAGTGATTGGTACCAAAACTTGGTGTTAAGCCACGTTAACCACGCTCTGTACTGCAATAAAGCGTCTGTAAGTACAATGCCAATCATTTCAGCTTCCAGCTCAGCAAGCAGGAACATGTAAACCAGAGCGAAACCCACTTCAACCACCACTGCTCCGTTAACCCCAGCACCTCGCCTCAGTCAAAAGAGAGATTACTGCGCTGCATTATGCAACAAATGAAAAAAAAGAAAGAAAGGAAGGGCAGACAACAAGAGGGATGAATCAGTGAAGCCAAGCCTTTCCTAACCTGCATGGCTCAGCCTCACCTGCTCAGCATTGTTTGCCGGAGGATAGTCAGCGAGGAGAAGTAAGGTCAGAAAAGGAAATGTAAAAAAATGACGTGTTCAATTGACTGTAAATACGTCAGACATTGATTTATGTTGAATGACGAAAGGCAGCAAAGATGTGTCAGCTCACCTGCCTCAAGTTGCTCTATTGAAATGAATCACTATAAAGCAAAACACACCTCATGCAACACTTTTTCCTCGAAGGAAAATGTCTTGAATGGACAAGTACAGGTAGTCACTGGCCTTCTCCTTTGATCTCAACATTACAGCAAAATATAACCTTCTTCCCAATAAAGACATGATGACAATGATGAATAGAGGTCTGAAATCACATTCAGTGTTATTTTTATTGTCATCACAACACACACAATACAGAAAAAAAACATAACTTCCCAGGTAGATATGGTAGATAAATAGTGTAATGTTATTAAAATACATTTCTTCACATTATACTTCGAGTTAACAGCCAGGTGACCAAGTAAAGCTCGGCGGAATTAACGCCACTGTGGGCTGATATGGTTTGCTGGAATTCACAGCAATTTTTGCAGAGAGGTTGCGATATACTTCAAAGCTGACTCCAGTGTTATTGTACATGCCTTATGATGGAGAAACACACATCTGGTGGAATTTTGATCAGATTTAAGTTTTTTAACTTTTCCAAACAAAGGAGGCGGTAATACTTGTCCAATTCAGTGATTAAAAAAACACCTTTTAGCCTTGTCCTTCTAGATAGAAATGTTTGGGAAATCTGCATCGATAATTGGTACAGAAATCAGTCAAATGTGATGGGGTAAAAAAAAAGAAGGAAATTGTAAAAATGTCTCCTAGGAACAATGTTAATGTAAATTCCAACACCCTTTAAAAACATCCCCCAGTGTAAGCCCCCAAAGGTTCATCTTGTCTGGAGACATTTTTCTTCATATGACCTACAGTACTTACATCATCATCACCTGCCTCTGCACCTTCACATTCTTTAGTCTTTTGACGGCCCACTAAATCAGCTTTTCTGACTTCACTACACAAATGCTTGTTAATCAAAGCACGTAAACTGCTGTACATGCTTTTAAACCCTGCAGCAGACTTCACCACAGTTTAGAGCAAGGCAGAGTGGATTTATGTTTAGGTAAAAAAGGTACACAATACTGGTAATGCAACAGTTGCTAATTGTCTAGTTTTAAAATAGGCTTTTTTTCTGTAGTACAAACAAAAACATTGTTTAATATACAATAACGTGTCACACTTTTTATGTAATTAGAGGCTGTTCATATTTCATGTGGGACAAATGAGAGGACGTTGAACTTGCTTCTCATTGCTCAAGAACAACGATGTCGGCCACTCCGTGCACCTGCGTGAGCTGTTTGCAGTCAAGGGACGCCACCAGCTTCCTGGATCCAGGCAAGGTGGGGATGAAGTGCTCAGTCAGTGTCACTGTAGAGTGGCCGGCCACATCGCTGAGAAGGGAAAAAAGACGAGCAGCATATTAGTCTGGAAAAGTGCGTGTGTGTGTGTGTGTGTGTGTGTGTGTGTGTGTGTGTGTGTTTGAAAGAGATAAGGACATTAAAAAGGGAAAGAGTTGTTGCATGTTCTTACCCAACAACCACTTCGTGGCCCTCCTGCAGACCCAGGCCCTCCACCCTGAAAATCACTCCCTCCAGTGTGCGTGGTAGAGGGTTGATAAAAGTGATCTTGGCTGACATCTCCTTGCCAACACAAGCTTCTGCCGAAGGCTGTCGGAGGGCAATGCAAGATGAGTCAGGTGGACAAAACCTTTTCCTGTCATTTTTCTCTGTGGCGGCAGTCCTGAAGATACACGGCATTCTACTAACACGTACCGTGATGTTGATGTTGGGCGTACGGAGCCGGAAGGTGGTCTGGTGCGCTAATACTTGCTGGGTCTCATTGACTCTCCCACACAGGGTCAGCATCAGAGCCGCCTGGTCCACCAGCTGGTTTTGGTACTGCTGGTAGGGCAGCATCCACTCAATGGTCTTCTCTGTGTGTTACGGAGCAGAAAAGGGGAATAGGTAAGTATAACTAAGCATGAAGACTAGAAACAGAGGACCTGCTTGCCTGGCTCTGTAGAGGGGTTCCTAAAAAACAACCCAAACTGGCACCTTTCATTCTTACAGGATCATTTTATGACTATTTTCTTAAATGTACAGTCGCTTATTAGCAAAGCTCCCCTGGCGGTTCCATTAGAGCAAGACTACTGAAATTCTGAGAGCATGGTGCCTTTACAAATGAAATGAGTAAATCATACTGCTCAATTCATTATTCTGAGGGGATTTTTCAATTAGGCCTTCTTTTGATGGGCTATGGTCGATAGCTCAGCAGCTAATATGAACAAAAACCGATAGACACTAGTATTCCATCTTGTAATGTTGATGTTAAAACATGACGGAAGAAATAAATGGCAGCGGTTTACCTTCATTGGGCAGGAGGTCCACCGGTGTCTGCTCCTTCCTGATGGTGCCCTTCAGCACGCCTGTGTAGTACATGACGGCCACCTGGCTGTGCAGAGTGGTCCGACGAGGCTGCGAGCTCAGGTTCTTCACCACGATGCTCAGGTGAGCGTCGGCGCCCATCCTGGGCCCCTCGCCCTCCATCTTCACCTCCACGCTCACGTCCTCCGCTTTCGCCGCGCCGTAGACCTCGGGCTTGCTGCCGTAGCGACTGGCCGTCTCCACGGCGATGCGTTCCTCATCCGAACCTGGTGCAGCGGGAGGAGAATGTGAGTTCCCCTCATTCAGTCCATTGTGTGATTTACTGACGGATACGAGAGAGACGGAACACGGTCCTTCGAACTGAGCAAGCAAGAGACACGTCTTTTAATAACTTGAGGAGCAGGTCAACATTTGAGGGGAATGTACAGTGAAATGAGCTACGCAGCAAGAAAGTATTCATTGCATTTGAAGAGTGATGTGTGGAAATAATTCCATCTGGTTCTGAAATGCGATTAGCAAAGTGCGACGTGCTCGCCGGTACCTTCTTTGTGTTTGTACAGGTGCGTGATGTCGGCCCGCTTGTCAGAGCCCACTGCTTTGGTGCTGATGCAGTGGCCGACAGCTTTCTTCTCACTGCCGATCTGGCTGAAAGTGCCGTCCAGGTTCCTCTGCCAGAAGATCTTATCGCTGTTGACCTGTTGGAAACGTAACAACAAGTAGTCTACAAGAGAAGATGGCCTTTCATACCGATGATGAAGTTGAGTGCACATCACTCTTATTCAATATTAATATTTGCTTTCAATATGTCGCTCGGGAAGAAATTCCATTGTGTTTACTCTGCTGTGAATAACCAATGAATAGAAAGTGGTTTCTATTTGAAAAAAATGAAGCTGCTCATAATCCAAGGTACAGAATTATGATTAATCCTTATCAACCTGCGGAGAACACTGACCTCAGCAAAGACGAATGGCGTGTCGTTTTTGAGGTAGACTTGGCCGGAGCGGATGGCGTTGATGGAGGCAGGGCCGCAGCGGAAGGTGCCCTGGCTGGTTTCCTGGGGAGTAGAGTCAACAGCCTGCCATCCTCCATAACCAGGGGGCAGGTCTGCTCTCGCCATCCAGCAGTCATTCCACACGTGGAAGTTCCTGGATGGGATTAAAATGTGTTCGTTTGAGGCGTTATTTTAAATGGTAACTTGAATTTCTCGAAAACACACTTCCTTTTGGCAAGAGGTGAATAGCTTAGCTTAGCATAAATATGGTTGTAAATAGGGACGGACAGAAGGCTTCTGTCCACTTTTTTACTCTGCGGTTTTGTACTAGATGCAAGGTTGGCTGACTTTAGAGATGATGGTGCCCAAGTGATCAGGTTAGCTAGGCTAAGCTACCGTCTCCTGGCATAGCTTGATATCTGGCAAAAATGATCTCACAAATGAAAGCATCCAGCTTTCAGCAAGAAACAAACACAAATATTTCTCCTAAATGCTATGACCTAAATACTACAGAGTATATTCTTCATTTAAATCTATTAAGTGCAACCTCTTTTTAGAATTGGGTCACCATGGTGTGGAACTCGGATCCCAACACAGAAACAGGGAAAGAGACTTTGTTCTCTGCTCAGAAAGACATCACTCCACAATATCTATACATAGCTAATAGTGGTTGGCTGCTATGTTAATGCTCAGGATCCTGTGTATTGCATATTTTAAGAACCAGCCCTACCAAATAGCAGATTGATACCAGATAACCCACAGCAGTCTAAAGGCTGATGGAAATAATTGGACAAGCATGACCTCTGAGGTCAGTCGTAGAGGGCTGCTTTTGGAGCAGATCTAAATATATGGCACATTCCCATGCCGTGCATTTAGCAGGGGGCAATATTCTCAAGCATGGTGTCTTAAAGTTACACATCTCACCAGACAGAGTCACTGTTGAGGTGGCGGATCAGCTCCATGTTCTCATCAAAATACACATCCGTGGTGAGGGATACGTCGGTATCGTGAGCGGACTGGAAGTTGGTCACACTGCGGGCGGGTATGCCCAGACACCGCAGCACTGCGAACAAAGACAGAGACACATCCATTACAACTCCACTTACCACGTCGTTTGACAATTGAATCGCGTTCACAGACACTAGGGCTTAAACAAAATGAATGCACACATCTACACTTTGCTTGGTTTGTTTATCATCCTGGCTGACTGAAAGTAACACATGTGGCTCCATCGGTGAAGCAGGAGGTATGACAGGAATGCAAAGGCGGGATATTTAGGGTGTCGATGAGCTGAGTTCAGCCATAACTGCCATGGGAGGGAGCTCGCATGCACGCAAAATGAAGTATTCTGTTAGAGAGTAGCATGAACTGATTAAAAGGGCCTGTTAATAGAATTCCTGTGTCCACTGGGAAACTCATACACACACACATCACATGCTCCATCACGCGGCCTCTCTGTTTTATTTTCCCTCATGCTCACCCGTTGTCGTGATCCCAGAGAAGACCCAGCACTGTCCATACGACACAGGCGTTCCATCGGAGGAGTGGTACTTCCTCAGGATCTCCACGCTGCTGCTCCACGCCGAAGGAGGAACCCCGTCAGAGTAATCCCCGGACCAGTTCCCCACCAGAACCCCAAAGTCGTCCTGAGCGTTTATCTGAAAAAGATGATGTTGACACAGACATCAACAAATGGCTGCTCTCAATTAAAATAACAATTCATTGGGAGATTAGGATCATAGCTACTAATGAAGACACCACGGTCATTACTCCTGGACATGTGTCCAAGCTGAGGTTAGCTGCAATTTGTAATTCAAACCAATGGATGGTATTTCATACTTAAAGTATTTGTTTTGTTTCAACTACCGTGAGTTTATTTGTGGCATGTTGGGAAACTAAATTCACAGAAATACAATTGACAAGGAGACTGAATAGGAAACATGTGAGCCTTGGGGGACTTGGAATCCGGCCTTTACTATTTCTAATATCCAGAGACTGTGTGATGCCAATATAAATCTAAACTCACCATCGCAGATATGACTCTGACCACATTGACAGGATCCCCTCGGCCAGATGGCGGCATGTCACTCTTCTCCAGGATGAACAGACATGCTTCCAGAATTCCTTCATTAAACTGAAGGCAAAAAAAGACTCATAAAGAAAAGCAGCAAAGGAAATGAGTTCATTCAAATGGGGATTTTGATGATAGTATTAGGAACCATCTAATTCGATGTCTTGTGAAGATTAAACAGTGTAAAGAATTAAACACTAGCTAGAATTATGAGGGGCGTTTAGGACTTTTGAACAATTGAGACACTCTTACGTTGACTAGTGGGATTACTCGTATAAATACATGTGAAACGCTGGCATATGTATCTAAACTTTTTATATCTGTGTAATCATATGCAAGAGATTTCGTTTAAGTGTTCAAAAATATCTACTGTATATATAAATATATATATATATATACATACAACCTTTTCATATGTGCATGCATGAGTGTTTCAGATAAATAGGTATAAATGTTTCACTTGTATGCATGTAAGCATTTCATATGTGTGTGTGTATATGACACAGCAGTATATATGTATGCATGTGTGTTTCTCATATGTCTCATATATTTTCAGATGAGTATGTATTACATATGCGCGTGCATAGATTTACAATGTATGTATGTGTGAGTGTAAAGTTACAGAGAAGATTTGCAGCTTCTAGCGGCCTCCATGATTTACAGTATTTTACAGGAAGATGAGGCTTTTTTACTGATACACAAATTACATTTTGACAAAGTTGACAATGGTAGATAGTTGAACACTGATACAGATGCGAATGATAACCAAAAGCATGTGCGAATAAATGAACCTCTACGTACCAAAGACAATGATGTGCATTTAAGATCCATTTTTCATTACTTTGGAGTCTATTACGTTTGCTTACCTGGCCAAAGTTCCATGTGCGGGCGCCTATTTGTTTCTCTGTCCCGTAGTAAATCCTCCCGGTGTCATTCAGCACGTACTCCTTTACCTCCTCCTCATTATCCAAGAACACTGCGTCCTCTGGAAAGACACGATATCAACTTGCCGTTATGCTACCGACTGTCATTCTACATTGTAAACACTCTTACACACAACTTTAATTGATCCTTAGCCCTTAATCGGAAAAAAATAGTAAAGAAGTTTATCTGAGGATACGTTCCAGTCGAGATAGTGGCTTCCTCCCCGTCTGCAAAGGTCCTTTAATCACCTCTTCAGTGACCAAACCCCTCAAGAATGTGATTTCTTTTTTCACAAATTCTGTGAGAGAATCCCAGAGGCCAGGAAATGGTGAGGAAACACAATGAGCCCACGGACCTTGCAGTGGGGCCCAGGCGCATTGGTGGGAAACGGCCTGTTTTGAGTGACATCAGGTCGACCGATTTGGGCGTTAACAACTCACACGAGTTTCACAAAACAGCCTCTTAGTTTTTCCATAGCTTTTTATCTCTCGCTGTTCCTGCCCTGATTACCACCGGGTGGGGGGGAGACGCGTAACGAAAGGAAAGGGAAAGCAGTAAAAGAATAAGAGTATTCAAAGTCATGAGGGACAAACGAGGGGGGACGTTATGCTGGGGGAGGCAGAGGAGTGAAGGGGAGTGGAGCGTAACAGTCTGTCTTGGGAGTTTAAAGTGAAAGGAGACGTGGGGGCGGAAAGCACCGGGCAGCTGTGATCATTTTGCTTTTCATTTCTTTTTACTGATTATTTCTACAATATTGGGTGAAACAGGCACATCCACACAAACACACACACACACACACACACTCACAGACACACGAGGATGTTCAGGAGGAGACGCAGACAGACAACAGAGCAATGTTGCAATGGAGTGAGGATTTGGAAGACAGAGAGCAGGGTGTGGGACCGGGTGGGAGAGGCTCGTAAAGGCATGCGATACACATGGAGGCAGTTAAAGCCAGGGAGAGGAAAGGTTGTCAGCAGCTGCAGGATTACGGCGAGCTCCCCCCATGGCCTTTTTTTTACAGTAATTGTAGGATTTGGGATTGTATGCGCGTGAGGTAGAGATTGGTCTCGGGAAGAACAGATTGAGAGAGGGAAGAGATTGGGCTCGCTGCCCAAAGCAACCCTCGCATAATGAAACACAGCGTCGTTTTAGATCAAATCCAGGTCTGCTGTTGCAAATGTTTCCCTTCTTTGTCAAATATCTTGTGAAGGGAAACAAAATAAACAATAGACCTAGTTTCCGAAGGCTGACTATTACTTCCATATGTTAATGTCTAACATGTCTAATGCAAAGAGGACGGTCAATAAAACACACGAGCTCTGGAGACACGGCGAGTGCTGATGCTGCTCTGCTGGTGGGTAAATTGGCAGCACGTTGGCCGAATCTCACTCAGGAATCTGTCAGCGTTCTTTGTATATTTTGAGAACCACTCACTTGGTCTACTTCACACTCCTTTGGAAGGCGCACAGCCGAGGACGTTACATCTGGTTCACTTGTACACGCAACACGTTCAACATCTATAAACTTTTAACATACACAGCACTCCGTCATCTGGCCTCCCGCCCCCCATCCTACGAGATGCAACACCGGGAACGATGCAATGGGACCATTCCAAAGGGGCACAGGACCAATTCACTTGAAATATGTCAGCTGTGTTTACAGCTTGTATCATCTTCCCCCACGTGGCCAAATTAAAGGGGCTGAACTAAACAAGATTTTAACGTGTAAGAATATCTTTTATCCACGTACATTTATTACTAATCCCAAAAAATTATATTTCAACAAAAGGGTTGTGTTACTGTGGCTGTGCTGAGGTTAAGAATTCCATCTTGTGCAAACGTTTCATCGAGGGGTCATCGAGGGGGTCGTCGACAGGCCACGTACCCGACGTGGTGCCGAACTAAGTGAGCCAAGGCTTGAATCACAGCCAGCGAGGTTGTGTAACGTACACGCGATCACGCTGTATCTTTTTGATGGACAGCAGCACGCTCATGGGTTGGCTAGGCGCTCCTACATTATATACGGAGCCCTCTCACAGATTGAAAACAGAGTGGGCCAGTACTCACTATTTGTAACATAGCAGTTATGTTTTGGTCCCAATAGTAAGCCGGAGTGATAATTAACTCCTGACATTGCGTCACGCAGCCCCGTCTGTGTTTTCTTTCTACATATTTCCCCTCTTATCATGACTCTCCTCTCCTTCCCTTGTCACATTCCTTCCCTCGAACCTGTGTGAACCCCCCTGCTCCCCCGTTAACGCCCGCTGCCAAACTCACCCTCACACCAAGGGTTGAAGAGCAATGTGATGTTCTTCTTGGGGTCGTGGATGGTCGGCACCTCGCCCTTCGACGTGCTGGTTGTCACGGTGAGCCCGTACAGGCCGATCACGGCGGTGGCCGGCGAGTTGACAGACAGCTTGATCTTGTTGCCGTTCCGCTCTACGATCTTGGCCTCCCAGCGCTCGTCCTCCAGGTCATCCACCAGTGGGATGATGACATGGGTGCCTTTCGACACCAAGGGCAGCGGACCTGCAACATTTATATTTCAGTTAAAAAAAAGGAAACACTTGAATAAAGCTAAAGCGATCTAATGAATCTAAATCAATCTAATATATAAGTCAGAGCTCACTTCTTTAGGCGGTGTAAAGAAAAAACAGGCTACCCGGTGTCCCCGTTTCTTTTAGTGTTCATGCTAAGCTAAGCTCACGATCTAGGCGGAGCTTCACGTGTAACAGACAAATGTGCAAGTGGTGGGAAACTTCTTATGCAACTCTTGGCAAGAAGCCCAAAAAGCAAATTTCCCAAAATGTTGAGATTAAAGTGATCTGCATGCAACTGATTTGCTGTGAACCGCTAGATGGATCACGATATTTATAGAATAATATTTCATATTTTATACAATATGAACTATTGTTCATTTTTAATAAAGCTAGACGGAATAAATTACATATTTCTATACATTGAATGAATGAGCTTTGAGTGCTTCTTGTGTGAACCAGATGTCAGCTACAAACATGTTACTGAAAAGTGCATGTGTTGCCGTATATATCAAATTGTTTTGTTATTTTATTTGTGCAGTAAAAACTAACCGTGAACAACACTTTGCTTTATTTATGCGATTGAAAAGTGAAGTTGTGCATCTTCACAAAGAGCTTTTTGATTCTTCTCATTTTCTGGAACCTTTCACCAATTAGCATGATTATTATTGACCTATTCAAAAAAACGAATTGAGTGCCCTCCTCTGAACTATTTGTCCGGTGGCACCCTGTTGAGCTTTTGCTGCCGTTTGCTTAAGCAAATATGAAGTTTATCGAGAAGCCATTGTTCTCCATTCAGCCGGGACTTCCTTTCTCATCTCTGACGATATGTTCAAAAGGAAATCAATGAAAAACACTCAGCTGGATCGACCTCACCTTTTAAAAAAAATAATTGACTCAAAATCTTGCATGCAGCTTCCTAATTGAACGGAATGACCAGCTTTTAGTCTTTTCACAGCAAATGCGACGCTGAAAGCGAAGGTAAAGAGGGCTCAGAAAGTTATGTGTGCTGCTTCTGTTTCTCCTCCATGTACGTAACTAAGCAGCATGCGATGGCAAATCACCGCTCTGTGGTGACGTAAGGGCCATTTACTTCCCGAGTGCGTAGTGGATTGTTGTAGCGTGAGGCCTGTAAATACCAGAGCGCGGTGTCCGGTGTCCTGCGCTCTAGAAGCTGTGAACACTGTGGGCTTCGGGTTGAATTGCTGCTTGATTTAGATTTAGAGTTGAAAGCGCGCTGCGTTTGGACCACGTTTCCCACGCTTTGTTTTGAGCCGGTCCGCTCATTCGTATGCGTCTCACACGGGCTTGTAGCAACTACTGGTTAAAGGGTCACTCGCTAATTCTGCTCAGTAAGATGACTTCTCACAGCGGGGAAAGTACCACTCAACTTGTTGTCTCATGTCTTCTGTGACACGTGACGCACAAACACAACCCTGTCAGATGAACTCAAGTCATTGGCATAGTTAATCATCTTCAATATTCTATTTGTATATCAATGTATCTGATCAATTTAGCTATCTAAACCATGTATTTCAACTGTTTATTTAAACTTTTAGCTCCGTTTAGCTCGATATGCTCATTTTTTAATTTTCAAAGGGGGGGTCTCTTACCAGGATCTTGCTTGTGTTACATCATAGGAATTGCAGGATCAAATCTTTGGAGCTTCTTACTAGAAACTAAAGTCAGGGTATCTTGACCGTACCTTCTTAAATTCCTTTGTAAATCTGTCCATCCAGATTCCCACAAAGTAACGTCAGTACAATGCTAAATGTAATGGGTGGCGGTGCTTTTTAACCCTTAAACCCTCCACTACTTGCTGCTGCTCACCTAAATGTACCCAACTCTCAAACTAGCCGGCCATTGCTAATAATCATGTTGATTCTAATTCTTTAGCATATGGATCATAGCTTCTGTTAGAAGGTATGACGACACACACACAGACACCGTCCCTTACACACCTGTTTTAAGCTCCAGATGCAAATGGTCATCGTCAGCGTTGAAGGGCCTGTCGAGCTCCATCTCTATCTGGAATGTCTGTCCTCTGCGGATGATCAGCTCGTCCCCCTGATACAAGTCGGTGTGGTGCTCTTGTCTGTTCTGGCCCGTCTTTGAGCTCAGCAGGTCCACGGAACTCACAGAAAGCTTCTTTGCTGAGAGAGGAAGGTTAAACATGAAACTTAAGTCTGTGTCCTTATTGCAGCTGCTATGACTATGGAAGGGTCAAAATGATATGTGCAACATTCCAAAACAGTCAAGTTTAACTTAACCTAGCACTTGATTTATTACCACAACGTACACTTAATGTCTGTGCCATTACCTTCCATTTCCTGCGCTTCTCCATTCTCAGGCTTTGGCTTTGTGGGCTCTGGGACCGGAGCCGGTGGTTTGAAAAATTCCACCTTATCTGTAATATCATAGGAGTCGCTGTTCTGGCGCTTACAGCAGCACAGGCACGTCTTCCTGAACCACTGGCGACAGCCGCCCTCCTTTTTCTTCTCCTCCTCTTTCTGAATGGTGAGCTCCACCCTGACGGGTGGGGGCGCTCCGGGGAAACGCCCGACCTCCCGAGTGCCTCTTACAGACAAGCGCTCACCTGGCATTCTGGGTGACATTTCAGAAAAAAAAATATTTCAATTTCAGGGAGAAAATTGCAGAATGTTATTGGGTTTTATTTGACCACGTTTTGCAATGTTTGCCTCTAAATAATCCCAAGACCAGGGTGTAAACCATTTAATTGTCAGCGCTATAAGACAAATTACGGTTTTGATTGTATTGTACAGTGGCCCTGAAGTGCAAAACACATGGACGCTACGGCCGGTGTACGCCGCGGACGCTATGGCCGACACGGCTCGGGGACCGGAGTCTGATTCCTTGGCGTGGGGAATTGGATGCGTGGCGGGAGTGCGTGACTGTCTCGCTCAATGCGTCACATTTGAGAGCCGTGTATCATTTCCTGTTAAAAGACAGACAGTCCGTCCAATCAGAAGGGTCTGTCCTCTGCTATAAGGCCCCACCCTTTCCATAAGGAGTTAATTTCATTGTGTTTTCCTACTTGCGTTGTGCGTTCCTATTTGCCGTTGTGTTTTGCACTTCAGGGCCACCGTAGTATTGTGTTGAAAGCCGATATCTCAGATGGATCTCAAGGATTGATAAAACCAAATCCCCGGAGCCCCCGAGCTCAACGGCATTGCACCACAGACTGAAAGACGTATTGTTGGTACTGCAGAGGTCATCGGCAGTGTGCTGCAGAACCTTCCACTGAGGTTTTTCTTTTATCTCCCCATCACAAAAACAGCAAATGTATTCTTTATTTTGCTTTTCCCCCAATTTGACCACATTCCGGTCTTGAACTCTCTGCGGCCGTCAAGCTTTTGCAAAGCATCTCGGGGCCGTTCAGTCTTTCGTCCTTGTCAGTTACACTCTCTGAGCCATAAACAGACCTCCTGTTAGCAGCTGGATTCCATCTGTTACGAAATAATGTAGTTGGTGTGTATATCTCTGTGCTTGAGCATGCACCGCAGATGTCCAGCACTGTGGATTATATGAACATTTATCACACTGTCACATCCCCACCCTCATACTTCGCACCAATAATCGCAACGGAATTAGATCATTTGTCACACGCACGATAAGTCGGCCCTTCCTGCACATCCTCAGACTTTGGGTTCACATTATGTCAACATCAGGAAAGTGAAAACAAAAAGTGTTTACTTGAACAAAAGGAGGAGGGGATGGTGGACTTTCCATCTCATACCCTAAGTTCCTTCCTTTTTCTCACCATCTGTAACCCCACCTTAACATAATAGCCACACGGAGCTGAGGCGCTGTAATAACATTTGAGCATCTTGGGTGTTTTACCAGCACTTGTAAAACCTGCATGAACTGTAATGAGTTGCAGTAATGCACACAGTCAGGAGAAATGCATTGTTTTTATGTAGACGTGAATTGAAGAGGTTGGTTTTATAGCCCCCTTTTCCAGTGCCATTCTGTATAGATGACGAAGTCCTGACCCACCCTATACTCTTCCTCTTACTGGCGAGTACCACTACCTCCGTTTCCTGGGTTGGTTGGGTAGACGGAACGAAAGAAAAAGAAAGTTGTTACACAGTAACAGGGTCTTGTCTTCAGCCATGCACAGCCATAACCATCCAATTTTTTCAAATGAAAAGTTGGATTTGACTCACCCACGGCTCGCTAGCTAATCAAAGCTAACTCTTTGAATTAAAAACTGTCTTCACCCTTCAGTGGACTTCATTAAGGTTTGGGGCTAATTTCAGAACGAGACTCGTCCAAAAGTGTCTTCAAGACCTGCTTGATGGCTACAGACTGCCTGACATTTACTTCTTCAGTACCAGTAAGATAGAAATCCAGCGTGGTTCAGTTGATTTTTTAAATCAGACTTGAACCCTGAATAGTAAAGTAGAATGTCTCTTCTGCTTTTTGGCAGTGCGGATACAACTAGATGATCACGGTTGGCGAGGGGGTGTACATCCACATAGCTCCGTGTTTAGCATTCTGAAAGCTGACAAAGTGTCATCTGAGCCAGGTTACGCTGGGCTATTTGATAAAGATAGGAAGCACATTCTTTGTTAAAGCTCTGTTTGTATTGATCTCATAGTTAAATATTGATAAGGGACAGGCGTATCAAACAGGGTCAGACAACTGGCTGGGGAGGGGCGATGCTGTTAAGTTATGTGACAGAGTTCAAAGGGTGAACAGCTGAGGGGACGGGCGCCTCAAAGTATCAGCTCCTCAAAATCCATGTGAAAGTGTAGAATGTGTGCACATGTTTGTGGGTGTGTTGATCTATTCGTCACAATTGGGCCACTTCTAAACTCTTTGACTTCCTGAGTTCATCTGCCTGTCAGATGACATTCCCCTCCCTTCAGTTGTTTCAACATCCTCTAAATATTTGTCAAAAACCGTCGTCATAATAATTGTGGCGTACACAATGGGTCGAGTCAGCTGTGTGTCTTGCGACATGACCAGCTGAAGTCGCGCTCACCGAACCGTCCTGGGCTGCCTTCACTGCGTCTCAAGTGTGAGAGAAAAGAGGCCCTCCTGCATTGAAGTGAAATGCATGCTAGAATTCAAAACGGTTTGGTTCCCAGTGATTCTTGCTACTCACTCAGATACTTTGGTGAACCAACTGTTTGAGTTGATGATGCTACAAATGCAATTGGCCAAATAGTACTGCAATTATGGGTTATTTTCAAATGGAACAAAAGCTTCTTCAGGCTGGTTTGGTCGTAATGTGTCTTCACAGTCTTTAATGAAGACAAGTTATCTCACAACTGCAGGTTAGGAGTGTTAAAATTGCCCAATTAGAATCATCCCCTCAACCCCCTAAAACCACGAACAGCCATTCCACAAGCCTAATTTCTGGCTACGCTTCCCTCGCACTTTAATGCACAAATTTACATGGATTTATAACACAGCCGCCAGCCAAGCTTGAAAACAAGTGTTTCTTCTTCATCTTTTGTCGCCTGCCTATCACGTACCACCGCTTCCTCCATTATGCCGTGTCCTCTCTCTCTCTCCCTCTCTGCAGCTCTGCACGTCTCCTCAGCCGGTTTGTGTTGGCACGCCGGCCCCTCTGGTATGCTCACTGGCCCCCCGAGATAAGCGCTTTGAATTCAAGACACTCTTTCCAAATAACAATGCTGTAATTGGCTGGGCAAGCGTTTGTCTGGTGATGTATGAAATTAACGAATAGAGGGTTTTTTTAAGTCTACAAATGTTACAGAGTACTAAAAGTCATTGTATGCAGAAAAAAGAAGTGGTCCAACTTCTTTGCAGGGCAGAAAAAAACAGCTGCAGCTGGTTGGCACCAACCAACAGGGATTAGGACATTAAAATACCTCCACTAATTGACTGTTCATTACTGTATAGAAAACGCTTGTGTTGATCTATGACAGCAAAGCAGCCTCTTGGAGATTGGAAGGATGGAAAGGGGTCTTCTCATAAACAGCTTGAAACCAGTCAGGAGAGCTGATGGTTTGAGTTTTGTGGCAACTTAAGTTCACCACGTTCATGACTAAACATCACATTTAGAGTTGAAAGATCATGAGAAATAGAAGAGAGACACAAAAACATTTTTTCCCCCCTTTTTGCTTAAATCTCCCCGACTGCCTGCAAGGGAGAAATGTTCCTCCTTCTGCGTGCAGGATCATCCTCAAGGCTCCATTGTAATGGAAACGCTATCTGTCTAAAATAGGAGACCGTTATGTGCTGCGCGTATAAGCGCTCCTCTCATGAGAAAAAACCCTGCACCTACTTGATCCGTCTGTGTTCTGCTGTGGATCCGCGGTGAATCCTCCACTTCCTCCTCCCGATTAGCCGGATTGTCTCAGCGGAAAAAACTTTTGGCAAAGTTTTTATTTTTTTATTTTTTTAATTTCACTCGCTCGGTTCTTTAATCCGAAAATTTAATAATCTCTGTTCCGAAATTTACTGTACGTGACTTTTTAAACCGACACCGACACAGACACGCCCCCCGCCCCGCCCCGCCCCGCACGGACTGAAGTTTCCCACCGCGCCCAGCAGGTCCCGTTGTTTTAGGCTGCAGGGTGACACGCACGAGGGAGACAAAGATAAGCCTCATTTGACGGAAGAGAGACACGGCAACAATGTCTCATGTGGCTGGTGAGTCACCCAATGAAGCGGTAGTTCTGCCAGGGTTCTTTAGTTCAGGTTGAAGCCCCTTGTTATAGGAAGTCCCCCACGCAGACGCTTGAATTTTAGTGCACGTGTATCCTGACATTTACGGTATTAAACAAGTAACCGGAATAAACGCTATTTAAATAGCAGATTCCAAACATATGTTAGTGGTGTGTGTGTACAGGACCTCTCTGACTATTCTTTTACAATGAATGAAATAGTTTTACTGTACAAATTTGGAGATTTCTGCCAAGCAAAAGCCCTTCAACCGCAAGTTCAAAAAGACATTTCTCCATATTTGAGCTGCAATAAAAACACATTTCTCTATAATTCCAGGCAAAGACCAATGTACATGTGTTAAGGACCTCTCAAACTACTCCTGTACGAAAAATTAAACATTTTTACTGTACAAATTTAGAGAATCATCCGAAGTAGACAGTAAAAAGATGATTTCTCAATGTTTGAGTGGCAATGAAAATACTTTTCGCAATAAGTCCAAACTATGATTGATGCATGTGTTCAGAACATGGTTTTATCTTTCATTACAAGCAAAGCAAATGCCTGCAGTCATTGGCTGTTGGGACTAGAAAATATGTGTTAATATTTCATCACGATTCTTTGGAGATAATGAAACAAAATAAAGTAAGTAAGTAGTAACAAATCTTTTATTCTGTTCTCATGATCTTGAATCAGGGGAAATCTCGGAGGTCAACCGAAAGTGCGCAGGAGCAGTTGTGTGTCCTGTGACATTGCTGTGGTCCTGCCAACAGGGGAATTGCGCTCAATTCAGCAGTTTTTATTGCAGTTCAAACCTTGAGAAATGGTCCTTTTGACCTTTGAAATAAACGATAATTATCTAACTTTGTACAGTAAAAGTATTCCTTTTTTTGTACAAGAGTAGTCAGAATGGTCCTGAACACACATACTTCAGTCATTGTCCAGAATCTTTGATTAAATAGCTTTTATTCCAGTTACTTGTTTAATACTGTAAATATCAGCCTACACGTGCTCTAAAATTCTCCTGAGTTGGCCGCAGTTCCCCATGTTGGCAGGACCACAGCAATGTCACAGGACATGCAATTTCTCATGCGCACTTTTGGTTTTCCTTCTGTTTTCAGAGAAATCCCCCGAATCCTAAATTCAAAGCATTTCATCTCAAACTCAAAAAGTCTTATTCAAGATCATGAGAACAGAATAAAATATTTGTTATACTTACTTTATTTTGTTTCATTATCTCCAAAGATTAGTGATGAAATATTAATTCCAACGCATATTTTCTAGTCCCAACAGCCAATGACTGCAGGCATTTGCTGTTTGGCATGAGACCACAATGACGTCTGTATTACCAGTAAAAAGGTGCGTCCAAACTTTTGACTAGTATTGTATTCACACTTCTTCTACCATAACATTTGTGTAGCTGTGACTAGCCTGTGAGTGGTGTGGATGTTAGTGGTTGGATGGTAGTGGACGTCATCAGTGTACCCATTGTAAACATTGGTCGGGCACAGACGTGCTTGAATTACATGGATATGCAATATATTCCAGAGGATTTTTACTGTAAAAGTTGAAGATCAGACAGATATAATTATGTTTCGTAATAGTCCATTCGTTTGAAATTGACGTCAGTTGATGAGTCATAACCTAAGAGCAGTTTTCAGGTTTATAAATGGATAGATGTGTTGTTCTTACACATCTTTATTGTTATTAAACTTTTTCGGCCATAGTTTCTGCAATCATATTCAAAAGAAAACCTTCCGAAGAAGAAAAATAATTTTTATGATACCATAAGGATTTCTTCATAGATTTCCTATGATGTTATTTATTTTAAAAAAAGAAGGGAAAGAGCAGAATGGCTATTTTTATTTTGAAAAATGCAGACCATTTACCAGTCTCATTGTTCATCTTCTCGGCTTGACTGGGGTGTGATAAATGACACGGACCACATTAGTGGGGTCTGCAGATCAGTGGGCGAGGGGGTGGAACAAAAGTGACCCGGGTTCCCTGAGTATCTGAACATAACAGATGGTATTGGGTCCGGGCTCTTGCACTGTACGTGGAAAAGCACCACAGGAAACCACAGGAGAAATAAGTATTAGGATTGTTTTCATGTTTGGCAAATTCTTTCTGAAAAGCAATGGCCGTTACTTAATGATACATCGTCCACACCAATACAGTGTGGACAATGTATGAGCACCACTGTTCTGCAAACACAGAGTGCACCAGGTTTGCTCCTCTGTTAAGGAGCGCCAGTCAGAATATTTTCGGCATGTGCTGTATGTTAAATAATAACCAACTTCCTCTGACCTTTTCTGATCTTAGGAGGATCCAGAAGGCTCACAGAGCCAAAACAAACACTCACTGAAAACCCTGACAAACATAGAAGTCAATAAAAAAGAATACGTTGGATGAAGACAGCGCACATCGAATGTCCATGTGGAATTCAAGGAATGGTTTAATGTCTTAACATTTCGCTGATAAAAATGGCCTTAAAATGGCCTTTAAAAAGATTTAGATGAAAGGATCAAAAATATGTTTCCCAACATTTTCAACTATTGAAATAACAGATAAAAGACAAAAGATATTCCATTATGGTCTTGAGGAATGTATTCTCCCAACCTGATGATCATGTCATTACGACACAGAGACCAATAAAGGGAGAAAACTGCTTTAACATGTCCTGAAAAACTTTGTTTTCTCCTATAATAACCAGGAGTGGAACATTTCCCAATAGGACTATAGCTGCTGGGACTCTCAGCACTGTGATTCAGCGCCGCTCTCGCCCTGTGACATCAACGTTTTCCATCTGTGTTACAATGGTGTGATGAAATGTGTCTGCGTGACTGCTAATCAATTGCCAGATTCATTCAGGGCTTGCTGTGCAGGGGGCTGCAGTATTTCTGGAGATGAATTCAAAGAGACAAAGCCGACAGAAGCTCCACTTTTGAAAAAAAAAACGATCTATCATCTGTTGGCCTCCTGTCTGAACCGCACTGCTCCCGCCGTTAGAACAGAAACCTCTCAGAATCTGGTGCTCACTTCCTCCTCTGTGTGACCTATTAAAGTTCACATTTTAGACAGGAAATATGTTTCCTTGTGAAAAAGTGTTGAGTAATTTACACAGAGCAGACCCAAATTGAATCATTCAGGATTGCGTTCTAGAGTTTTTGTAATCCCACCAGCATTTTCGCCCTCAATTGTCTTCTCGAGGCCTCATCATTTGTAAACTTGCACTGTCTTAGATAGATTTAAACTGTCAAGAATACTCACTGTGCGAGTTCTCACTAGGGTTTATGAGATTGGCATGCTAACATTAGTAAGTCACCAACCCCAAAGTACAGGCAATGCTGATGGAATCTCATTAATTTGAAAAAAAGTAGCTTTCTGGATTTTTTTTTATTTTGATCTGGTTTTGGTTCAGGGTATCAATTCAAGTTATTACATTCACCCAGACGGAATGCGAATATCTCTAGTAAATTCAATGGCAATCATAAAAAAATGGTAGTCTCAGTTAATAGTTATAGTCATAGTTTAGTCTTATTTGGGAAAATTGTTAGATATAAAATTAGAAAATACTTTTTATCAACTTGCTATATCTGTGATTGTTCAACGCACAAATATAGACTGTTGGCAAGGGTGTGTCACTTTCTAGCGGAAGTGCACTGCCTTCATTACTTCCAAAGAAAGGTATGACGTGTCATTATTTCACAAGTCAAATGAAGTCATGGAACCTAATCTGCATTCAGACGTTTTTGCTCTCTTGACCAAAGTTTTAGGATTTAAATAGCAACGGATCAGTGACAGACCATCATTTAAATCTGTTTTTTTGTGTTTGTTAAATTTGAGTATCTGACAATGTGTTATTTATCTATTTCACTCATACGTATTGATGCTTTGATTTGAGGTCAGAACTCACTCACAACTGTCTGCCACTGACCTCAGCAATTAAACCCTCAGGATGTTAAAATGTGAGAGGTAATACTGGACCTTGTTATAGGATAACAAAAAAGAGACATCCTTTCAACAAAAGCAGTCTTATTCTATAATCGTTTTTTTTTCCTCAAATGGACTGTCACGTTGAAAATTGTCTCTCTATTTCCTACTGCAAATAAAGATCCAAAGACCCACCAAGGTGTCCTCTGCTTTCTGCTTTAGGAAGTTACAAGGTATTGCACATCTAAAGCCCTCTTAAAGTCACGTGTGACTAGTGTTGAAAAGGGTTTTTTGTGGAGGGTCATGCAGCCCTCGGCTCAAGTCCACACATTTGACCTCAGGTGTTTTTTGAGTAAGCGTTGCCGTTGGACCCTTTTTACCAGAAAAGACACCATGCTGTCCTCTGCTGGTCAAATTAAAGATCACTGCCCTTCTTAGGCTTCTATGGAATTTGATGTCAATTTGATTTGCCTCCCAAGAGAAACAAGCTAAAGTATAGAGACAGTATTTTTTTTTTACCATCCAAACAAAGCCACTTCGCCGCCCCTTTGAAGAATTCTTACAATATTTACAGTGAAGCATTATCAATATCTTACGACTTGTCTGACAAAATGTGATATTGATGATAGTAATCTGTGACATAGATGTAAGAGTACACAACCCGTGTCCTTCTATTTCCACTGGGTGGCCATATTAATAATATTCTAAATGTCATATGTTTGTGTTTGTCAGTGTTTGTGTGTGGAGTTCGTATGTCCTAGAATGACAATAAAAAGTGTTAAACATATGCACACCTGCTTGGATTCATGCTTATGTTCCCTTTAACAAATGAACTACTGAAGATTCATGTTAAGCCAACATCAGAGAGGTTAACATGTGTGGCATAACACAGGGGATTTTACACATAGGATCATTTTTTATTATATAACTGAATTAAACACGAGAGCGTTCCCATGTAGAAAGTGTGGGGCTGAAGGCAGTTCGGTGTGTTGAGTGGATTTCTGTGGTGCAGGAGCTTAATTTCATTTATATTTTACGTTGCATTTTGGCTTAGACTCCAATATTTTAGGGGGCGTTGATACGTCTCTGACCGTAGTCTTCAACCCCCTTTTAACAAGTCGAAGAAGAGAAAGAGTCGCGATCTAAACTCAGACAGAAGAGCATTTGGTGGAGGCGAGGGGGGTTTGGTGCCCCCTGCTGGCCAAACTCTCAATGAGCAGATGCCAACGGCTTTGTGGTGGTTTGCTAGCACTTTACCCAAAAGAATCCCAGGTGACTGCCGCTTTACGAGGTCAAGTAACGTGGTCAACAATAACAACCTAATAATATAAATACATTAAGTACTGTAAAAAAATTGTATTTTCTTTATTGTTTTAACCTTTTGGTATTTTGTTGCAATCCTACAATCTCTTTTGGGATTGTTTGGGATTAATATGTACGGTCAGAGTGCGCAGGCTGCTGGAGAGGAGCGAGCGCCCCTTGAACTTGGCGAGCGCCTGGACCAGCCGTGGTAACAGATGGAGGACGGCGGTCCCTGCAAATGGTAATGGACACAAGTCACCATTATGTGCATCTATTCCACAATATCAAATTGCTGCTGGGTGCACTCGGCTTTTACAGCTTGCTGCAGCTCTGCGCTGAATTTAAAGCTGAAATGTTGAGACTTTAATATAAATGATTAGATTTGACTCCTCTCTGTTGTTACCTCCGTCGGTGTGTCCCCCTCCGCCGTGTCAGAGTGGTAGTACACCTCGTAGGTGAGCGCAGTGGAATATAACAAGGATTTAGGACCCGTGAGAATTCATGGTTCTGCGTGTGTTGCAGAGCAATTCACCGCCAGAACAACAGGCGGAGTAACGTGTTTTGTTGAGGGTGTGTGAATGACGTGTGTGTGTGTGTGTGTGTGTGTGTGTGTGTGTGTGTGTGTGTGTGTGTGTGTGTGTGTGTGTGTGTGTGTGTGCGTGTGAGCACGTGACTGTCACAGGTAGCTGCACCTCAACTGCACGTATGACACATTCATTGCTCTACTGTTCCGTAGTAAAACTACACTGAAACCACATTATAATGCAGTGGACGTTTGTATTATCCTATATCAACTACAGCATTTGTTGTACTGTACTATATACTTTACTATACTACAATATTATTTATTATACTGCACTATACTACCTCTGTCTATTCTTTACTGTGGATACATCCAACAATACACTACACAACAGCATATTGCAGGACATCTAATTATTTTCTACATTTATAACCCTTTAGTTGAGGGGGGACACTGTCAGCGACACGTCTTCAATCAGGCTAGTTTTATTTGGGAGACTTTTCCTGTGGTCGTGCTCAATTGGTTTGCGTCTCACCCAGATAAGCTCATGTCACTGTGTCAATACCCTTTAATTAAGTGCCAACACTGTACTGAGCGTCGCCACCGGCACGCATGAAGCCCATGAGCGCTGGAGCTAAATTAATTGCTCTATTAATATGGATGAGGGTGGTCTTAGGTTGACCTGCTTTGGCTACAAATGCACACTCTTATGCACATGCACGCGCACACTTTTTTCAGCCAAACTGTTTTCTTGGGGGGGTGACTAAGACTTTATGTGTCGAACACATTTCTGTGTGTAAGTAACGGGGACACTATACACCCTTTACATGCACCCTTTACATACACCCTTTAGAGTCACCTTACACCGCACACAACCCGCATGCCGATGTGTCCTTGGGCAAGACACTTAACCCAACATTGCTCCTGTAGCTGCGACTACAGTGTGTGAATGGTAGTTACTGATGGCAGGTGTCACTGTGTATGGTTCTCCTGTCATCAGTGTATGAATGGGTGTGAATGGGTGAATGATGTCATGTAGTGTTAAAGCGCTTTGAGTGGTCGGAAGACAAGAAAAGCGCTATGCAAGTACAGGCCATTTACCATTTAGTATTTGTAAGAACTGCCCTAAACTTACACAACTGTCTTTTGGTTTTCTCTCTCAATGTGATTCTAGTACAGTATGTTTCTCACCACGGCGCCCCCCTGCGACGTGGAAGCACACCCCTGCCTCTCAAACACCAGCTGCGCAGGGAAGAGGCCGTATCGGAGGACTGTGATTGGATTGGAGGAGCCGGCCATGTTGCCTGTCAGTGTCTCAGGATGTGTCCAGCGGCCAATCGGCAGCCGCCCGGTCGGCTTACCACAGCCACGGCGGAGCTTTGAAGATAGTGCTACTGGGACAGAACGACGTGGGCAAGTCGTCGCTAGCCTTATCTCTGGCCGGGCAATCGGACAGATCCCTCTCTATAGACTCTGAGATGCGAGCATGTGGTAAAGACCTGGATGGCGATTGATGGATTTGGATTTTTAAATCTGTCTGAAGGGTTACTTTAGAAATGCTTCATTCACACACTGCGTTAGCTAAGCTTAACAATTACTTGTCAAAAGTCAGGTGAACAGATTGATACCACTCTGATGTCTTCAGGCTAGACATGAGCCTGGAGGTAGCAATTAGCTAGCCTAGCTTAGCATAAAACACAAAACAGATATTCTACAGAGGTTATAAAATGGCTTCTGGTTGCAGAGCCGGGGTAAGCTGATTGCGCCCTTTTTCCAGTCTTCATGCTAAGCTAATACAACAAGCTTCCCTTTGGGTCCCCCTCATGCATAAAGCTGACTTGGCCGTGACTCACGACATACAGGATTCATTACTGCCCATGTTGTACACTTGGACTCATGCATCATAAATGGATAGAAAAACTACTTCCTTCCAAGAAGCTTGTGCACTATTTCCATCAAGCCAATTTTTAACAAAGCTGTAAATTGTTCTATAAGCTACACGTCAAAAATTGTAAAGTGTAAAACATAACATTTTACTAAAAATAAACTAATCAACACCTATTTAATTACTGCTTTTACAACAGTTTTCAGCAGATGCTCTAGCAGCCCCGTGAGTGGGTTAACACCTCACTAATCAATACGTGTCCTCACAAAGTAATTACTGGTGAAATATAGTGAGACCCTATTAACACCAAGGCATTTGCTGTGCGGTATCGATTTCAAGCTGTTATGGGCTTCTTTATATTTTAAAAGCTTCACTGCAGTTATAGGTAGTTTATTACATTTATCAAGTGAATTAAATGGTCAACAAGCATCTTTAAGGTTTTACTTTTTCTTTGCAACTTACAATGCTAATGTGTGCCTTTTGTACGTCTAAATGGTTGCTCTTCCTGTCACCAAATTCCATGAAAAGCCACGACTAATGACATTTGTTGATCCTATTCACCAGCATTGTGTGTGTAAACATAAGATAAAACATGCTGAGCCACGCCATTAACAGCTGTTCATTAATAAACGCGCAGATACTGTAGATGATCCCTGAAAACACAATATTTCACTAGATGTATGTTAATGTAGTTGAGCAGCTAAAACTCAAGGTGTCTCAGACTTACTGATAATCATCATCAAGCCGTACTGAGGGTCTCAACTGCTTCCTCCCTCAAGCAAACTGTGGCTCAGCTGTGTGAGAGGAAGCGCTGCCAGGTCTCTGGCAGCAAGAAGTAGGCAAGAGAAGCCATGTCCAGAAGAACCGTTCATGTTCTTCAATATTCTATTCATGTTCAGGAGAACCCATTGAAGTTAAATAACTGTTAGTGATGACATTTGAGAAGTTTGGATTCTTTTTAGCAAAGTTTTTTTTTGTGGAATACCTGATGTGGCCCAGCCTCACCCACATACTGCCTCCAGCGGCCCCCAGGTCATTTGAGTTTGAGACCCCTGCAGTAATGCAAACGGATTTCTAGCCAATGAAATACGAAAGTCCTTCGTAGGATTATTCCCAAATAACTCAAACGGGGCCTTGGGATCAGGGACAGATCTGCATGATTGATTTCACTCAATGTGTCAATAGACAAAATACTATTCCACTAACATTGGACAATTGGGGTTTAAAAAACCTGCTCATTAACAATGCTAATCAGGTCAATACTATCTCAAATCAACAACAACTACTAGACAACAACAACCCTACTATGTAAACAACCACACACAATCATTCACGTGGAGAGTGTGTGTGTTTGAAAGAGTGGGCGATGTGGGGGGGGGGGGGGGCGCTAGAATAGCTCTTTCTTCGGTGAGAGGGATCTTCCTAGGGGTCAGCGCTGTCACCGGACGCGGCTGTTCCCGGTTTCAGGTTGGACCAGAGGTTCACTCTTGTTTGTCTCTGTGGGGGACGCGGCCGCCAGGTGGCGCCAGAGAAACGTATCTTTTTGGATGCGCCTCGTTCGAACAGATGAATTGGTTTATTTTTCTTATTCTGGTACCATTACCTGAATTGACCAGGAAGAGCTTTCATTAGGATTTTAAAAAAGCCGCCCACCGAGTTTACTCGGAGAAAGAGAGGACTTCAAAAAGCGGTTGTGTAATGTCTGTGGTGGGAGCCAGGAAGATGAGTCAGGAAAACAAAAGAAGAAAATAAACCTGATGATGTGGTCAGTTCAGTTTATATCAGATTGGGTTTAATTGAGCAGAAACATAGCAGACAACTTGATTCTAGTAGGTCAATCTCAACTTCCCTCTTCTCTTCTTTCTGTCTGTCCAATAAAGGCCAAATGGCCAAAAGAAAAATATGATGAATTAAAGTGTATGGCTATTTACCCCAACTTGTAAAACCCTAACCCTCAAATTACATACATGTAATGTGTCTCTCATTCCATTTTTCCTCACTATATTTACACTTTAAACTGTAAAAATTCTCAGTTTGGACGTGCCGCTGTGCATTCTAGGAGATATCAGGAGGTCGAGAGGCAACAGAGGTGCAGTTTATAGCAGTCAATAAGATGACCAGTACAAGGTCAGAGATTGTCTCATGTATTTATCATGGTAACATGACATCCAATCACTTCGAGTGAATTAGATGTTTCTATCCTATTAAATGAACGAATGAAGGATGACTACCTTTTTTAGTGTGGTGCATGTGTGGTGGTCTTGGACAACAATTGCACATTACAGTATTTTAAAGAAAATGGAGACTCCAGGAAGTCACTGCCAAGAAAAGGTTCTAACATTTGTAACTTATCTTTTTAGGATTGAAAACATTTCATTAAACAGTATATAACGAGTTAATTATTGTTAGGCTTGCTAACACGATTCCAGTTTTTCTGCTAAGCTAACCGTCTGTTGGCCGTAGCTTCATATTTAGCAAGAAGACTTGAGAGTAATGACAACGGTCTAAGCTAACTCTCAGTAGGAAGCAAAGGAGTATGGTTTTAAATGTGTTAGTGTGTGTTTAAGATTTTAAAAATCAAGCAATTTCCATCTTAGATATTCAGCTTAAATGAGCTCAACTTGACCATGAATTAAAATGATTGCTTCACACAACTCAATATGAATAGCTTGAAAACCAAAAATGCAATTACTCGTCCTCAGCGGGCTTGTCAAAGAGAGCAGGAGCATGTAACGCCCTTTACATTATGAAATTAAGCCGAGCTGGGGAGAGGTCATTTTCCCATGCTGATGTTCTCATGTGATCCTTTGTGTCATATTCCTGTTTAAAAGACACGTCTCCGCATTTAAGTGCAGAACAAAAGATGAAGGCTTCTATTCGAGCCTCCAATAAGACAAAGAGGCCGCTTTTCACAAGGTTATCCAGATGACAGTGGATTTAGATAGCGTTGGCAGCTTGGTAGTTCGTCTATGGCTGCATCGCTTGTCGATTAGCCACAGATCTTTTTGCGTTGTGCCGATTCTAGAAGTCATACTTATCAGATGCTCTTTTTATTGCCATTTGGGGATGGTTGTTTAAGGGCTCCATGGGGATTCATGCTTGATTGGAGAGATTCTGTCGGCCGATGTGGCTCTGCAGACGTCCTTCGGCCCCCTGAAAAAGGCTCTTGAGATGGCAGGTTCACGTCCCGCGTCACGACGTCGCTTTGATTCAGTTACTTCTAAGTGGTGACGTGTGCTTTGATACTAACAGAAAGTGGTTTGTGAATTCAGTAAAAATTCTCTCCCGACTCGTTTTTAGCTGGAGGCTCTCTTCTATGGGGTCAGACTGCAAATGCACACTGACTTACATATGCAAACATTTGCATGTATTTGTTTGTGGATCGCTCCACATTTTTCTTTGTTTTTTTTTAGACTCCCCTGACTTTTGGGTGTTTGATCATGGATGTATTTTGCGGTATTATAACACGAGCTGCTTTGCAATGTAATGGATCCAGACAGCTCGTGATCATAAGCGTTGACTTAGTTATTCACCATACAGTCATTATTACTAACTTCACACAACATAGCTTCACCGGTAACTAGTTAGACAACTAGATTAGGTTAATGAGTTCAAAGAGTGTCTGTGAAGTAGACCTTTGATTCGACGTCAGCTGATTTAAGCCAGTTCAAGTTATCATTAACGTTGGAGTCAACAAATTAGTCTTTTGCAAGCTTTTCAAGTTGTCATTTGGGGAGCAGTTAACACACATTTCAGATCCTTTCTTGTCATGTTTATTGATTTACCCCCCTAGGAATCACTGAGGCTGACATCCTTCACAGATTGCATGATAGACTGGAACACATCTTGCAGAGGCAACCTCTTGATATAGAAGGGCTCGCATCCCCTCAGGGTTTGGTTTTATTAAGTGCTTTTATTAAGCACATGAGGATGTAGGAGAACATGTATTGTCTGTATTTGTTTATCGTACTTAATGCTTACTATGTTAAAGTATCACTGTTTATATTTCTTTTTTTTAATAGCGAAGAGATATAGAGAGATATATGATGGAGATATATACATAGATCCATACACATGCCTTTCTTGCATACCATTTGTACATAAAAACAGACATTTAGAAAGACAAACAATGTACTGCTTTACTGTTCATGTCATTGTTTGGGTTTAACTGTGTTGGTATTGATTCATTTATTTGTAAATCCTTCTGTGCGCATTTGTAGATTTAATATATTTGTCTTTCAGTGTGCATTAGCAACCATTGAGTCTAATTGAACCCCATTCTCTTCAGCCTCATACTGTCTTGAAGGTGAGTTGCTGAGTAACTCTGGCATTGCGATGGCGAATATAGACCTAGTGTTTTTATGGCAGGTAATGCATTCTGTTTATGATCCATCTGAGAGGCTCACAAACTGTTGCCTAGAGCCCTTTTCACATTTACTGCAATCTTAAATAGCAAAAAGGATGTGGCTATGACTGCACAAGCACCCAAACAAACACAGTAGCATTTGTGTACAAAGCTTATTTTGACTCATGCATTTGGACACATACATACATACATACGGTGAAGCAATTGCAGAAGGGCCTTAAACTTGTGCCCTCTGTGCTGGCCATGGGGGAGGACTCTTCTTAGTATAAATGTGATGGGAGTCTGTAAGAAAATGATTTAATTCTCACTTGATTTATTCCCCCTGTTATCGTATCAATCGCTAGCTAGTAAGAAGGGTATTGTTTAGGGTGGGGCTACCTTGTGATTAACAGGTTGTCTATTCTAAAAAAAATACAATAAAACTTTACGTCACTACTTTGCAGTCCAAATATGGTCACTTCCGCAGAAAAAACGGAAGGCAAGGACCAAAATCCCAAATGGCGAATGTGTCACGGGGGATATGTGATTGGCCACGTGGGTTCTAACTTGTCAGCCTGTGTGTCGGTGTTCGGTGAGTAAGTGAGTGTGCGGGAGGCTCAGGGTGTGACAGGCTCGCGAGAGGAGCAGGAGCTACACGCCGGCGCTGCACAGGGTTTTTTCCCAAGCGCTTAT